CCCCCTCCCTCCTAGCACCTCCTGCATGCCGGGGAACAGCTGTTCCATGGCATGCGGGAGGTGCTGGGAGGGAGGGGGAGGAATGGGGCACGCTCATGGGAGGGGGTGTAAGGAAGCAGAGAAGGGGTGGGGTCTTGAGGGAAGGCATGGAGTGGGCACAGGGCCTGGGACTGAGCGGGAGGCTTGGGGGTCCCCAAAATTTTTTAAATCAAACTGGGGGTTCTTGGGTTGCTAAAGTTTGAGAACTGTTGATCTATAAAATAGACCTGATCTCCACCAGCCAGCGAGGCAGGAGTCATAAGGTTGCTCACAAGAGTTCCACATAGCAACTCATGCAGAACATATCACCAGTTCATTTCACACCTTCTGTGTAATTCTGTTTCTCTGCTCTGTTAAATGTAAAGCCTGGCATCTGCCATAAGCATCCCAAGGAGATATAATGAGTAACATGAACAATATTATTAAAAAGGGAAGCAAGCAGGCCCATTCAATGGTAATTATTTCAAGTGCAAATACAGCCTGATGTGATTTGACCACTTACCTCTGCTACATCTGCCAGAGATCGAGACACAAAAGAGTCCCGTGAGTTTCCATCCAGCAGGCTGGGTCCCAATAAGGAGGTGCCACTGGCAGTTCCAACAGGAGTTGGCAACATTTTCCGGCCCTTCTCGGGAGAGATGAAACTTGCTGTATAGAAAGGAAAAGCATAAGAACATAAGAATGGCCCTACTGGGTCAGACCAAGGGTCCATCTAGCCCAGTATCCTGTCTTCCAACAGTGGCCAGTGCCAGGTGCCCCAGAGGGAATGAACAGAAAAAGGTAATCATCAAGTGATCCATCCCCTGTTGCTCATTCCCAGCTTCTGGCAAACAGAGGCTAGGGACACCATTCCTGCCCATCCTGGCTAATAGCCATTGATGGACCTATCCTCCATAAACTTATCTAGTTCTTTTTTGAACCCTGTTATGGTCTTGGCCTTCACTACATCCACTGGCAAGGAGTTCCACAGGTTGACTGTGCGTTGTGTGAAGAAATACTTCCTTTTATTTGTTTTAAACCTGCTGCCTATTCATTTTGTTTGGTGACCCCTAGTTCTTGTGTTATGAGACGTAGAAAACAACACTTCCTTATCTACTTTCTCTATACCAGTCATGATTTTATAGACCTCACAATCATATCTCCTCTTAGCCATCTCTTTTCCAAGCTGAAAAGTCCAAGTCTTATTAATCTCTCCTCATATGGAAGCCATTCCATACCCCTAATCATTTTTGTTGCCCTTTTCTGAACCTTTTCCAATTCCAATACATCTTTTTTGAGATGGGGTGACCACATCTGCACACAGTATTCAAGATGTGGGCGTACCATGGATTTATATAGAGGCAATGTGATATTTTCTGTCCTATTATCTATCCCTTTCTTAATTATTCCTAGCATTCTGTTCGCTTTTTTGACTGCTGCTGCACATTGAGTGGATGTTTTCAGAGAACTATCCACAATGACTCCCTGATCTCTTTCTTGAGTGGTAACAGCTAATTTAGACCCCATCATTTTATATGTATAGTTGGGATTATGCTTTCCAATGTGTATTACTTTACATTTATCAACATTAAACTTCATCTGCTATTTTGTTGCCCAGTCACCCAGTTCTGAGAGATCCTTTTGCAGCTCTTCGCAGTCTGCCTGGGTTTTAACTATCTTTAGTAATTTTGTATCATCTGCAAATTTTGCCACTGTTTACCCCTTTTTCCAGATCATTTATGAACATGTTAAATAGGACTGGTCCAGAACAGTCTCCTGGGGGACACCACTATTTACCTCTTTCCATTCTGAAAACTGACCATTTATACCTACTCTGTTTCATATCTTTCAACCAGTTACCAATTCACGAGAGAACCTTCCCTCTTATACCATGGCAGCTTACTTTGTGAGAGAGCCTTTGGTGAGGGACCTTGTCAAAGGCTTTCTGAAAATGTAAGTACACTATATCCACCGGATCCCCTTGGTCCACATGCTTGTTGACCCCCTCAAAGAATTCTGTAGATTGGTGAGGCATGATTTCCCTTTACTAAAGCCATGTTGACTCTCTTTATTATAGTTTCAACCAGTTTGCCCGGTACTGAAGTCTGTAATTGCCAGAATCACCTCTGGAGCCCTTTTTAAAAATTGGCGTCACATTAGCTATCCTCCAGTCATTTGGTACAGAAGCTGATTTAAATGATAGGTTACAGACTACAGTTAGTAGTTCTGCAATTTCACATTTGAGTTCCTTCAGAACTCTTGGGTGAATACCATCTGGTCCTGGTGACTTATTGCTGTTTAATTTTATCAATTTGTTCCAAAACCTCCTCTAATGATACCTCAAACTGGGACAGTTCCTCAGATCTGTCACCTAAAAAGAATGGCTCAGGTTTGGGAATCTCCCTCACATCCTCAGCCGTGAAGACCGATGCAAATAATTCATTTAGTTTCTCCGCAATGGCCTTATCCCCCTTTAGTGCTCTTTTAGCACCTCGACTATCCAGTGGCCCCACTGGTTGTTTAGCAGGCTTCCTGCTTCTGATGTACTTAAAAATTTTTTTGCTATTACTTTTTGAGTCTTTGGCTAACTGTTTCCTCAAATTCTTTTTTGGCCTTCCTAATTGTATTTTTACACTTCACTTGCCAGTGTTTATGCTCCTTTCTATTTTCCTCACTAGTATTTAACTTCCACTTTTTAAAGGATGCCTCTTTGCCTCTGACTGCTTCTTTTACTTTGTTGTTTAGCAGCAAGTCAGTGTATTGAACTTGTACATCTGAAGGAGGAGGAGGAGAGGTACATGGAAACGTAGCACAAAGGAGATCTAAAGCCATCTCTCTCCTCTACCTCCTCAGAATAAGAAATTACTAGCATGAGCACTACCAGCAGGCTGCCAAATGGATCAACTAATCTCCTTTGCCCAAAGGAGGTAAACACACATTACACTGGAGACACTAGCCATAAAGCTATTCCTTTTTTGAGCTAATTCAGAAAAAAACAATTCTCTCACCTCCTTAGAATTATGCACCATGCATACAATGAAACCTACAAGTTCCAAACAGAAGAGCTGGTGGCATCATTTTGCTGTTTTAGCAGAACACTCAAAATGTTTCAACCTAAAAGATGAGTCTGACTTGCAAAACCTAGCAGACTACAAAAAGGTCTCAGTTACTCGCTCCAAGGTATATGCTGTTGCCCCGTGCCAGCTAAGCAACTTCTATTTCAGGAGCAGACTTCCAAATCTGGGCTGAATGAAAAATTAAGTCCATCTAGGGGTAACAATTCCAGTTAGAGAGGAAGGTGGGAAGGAAGGGGAAAAGTCTTCCAATGTCCTACTGAGTTTACTCTCTTCCAGGGACTCCCTCCAAGTCAAGGGACTGGGGCTGGGTGAAGAGAAGCTCTTTAGAAAAGATAGGACCATTCCTCCATCATAGTTCTCTGTGTACTGACACTCACAAAACAGGCTGCTGAGAGATGAGTCGGTAGAGTCGTTGGGGTACCACTGTGGATCATGGCTCGGAGAGGCAATCCAGTTCTGCTGAGGACTGCTAGAGGGGGATGGAAGACTTTTGGAGCTGTCACTGCCATTCAGTTTCGCAGGGGAGAGGGAAACACCTTCATCTGTAAGCCAATGCAAAGAATCAATGACCGAGTCAATTCTGTAAAGCTACCAGGACAACTTCAAGTACTTTGGGGTGTTCAACACATTTTCAGGCAACTGGAAGCAAGGCACTACATAATACTCTTAGTAGTAATGCCATTGTACAGAGACTCAACCAACACCAAGCTATTCTGAACTACAATGGCACTACACAGTGGAGTAAAGGGAACTGGATTTAGTCCTAAACTAACTCATCTTAAGGATATTGACTGGTTGATGAAAGAATTTAGCTATGGTGCAGCGCAATTTCCCGAGGGAGGAGTGTGATAGTGGAAGGTGGGGAACTGAAAGGCCCAATTTAGCTCAGTCCTAATTGGACTAGGTGTGTCAAGATTTCTGTGGGAAAAGGAAATAAGATGGAAGCTACTGTCCACACTCATTTAAAGGAACTATAAGCAAACTGAAAATATAAAACCTTTAGAGGACAGCTGGTCAACTGGGTAAGTGGCACAAAATCACCATAGTGTGAAAGATCATTTGATGCTGTATCCATTGGGTGTTGGGTCTCTCTATAGGTTCTCTGCTAGTAGGTGAAGAGGTTTAGGCCCTTATTGACTGCCAGGTAAAGGAGACCTAACCCACTCCTGCATGCCCAATAGGGAAGGGTTCTGATGTGCAACTGGGCTAGCCAGACATCTGGAAAAGAACACCAAGTTGCTCAGAATTCAGATCCACAATTCTTTTTTAAAAAATTCCCCAAGATGTAAATTTTTAAAAACTGATGTCAAAATTTTTTTGCGTAAAGAATATTGTTTTTAGAAGCATACACCATTACATCGTAAAGCATGTTCACAAATGAGAAACAATACAATTATTCAATCTAATGCAACACTTTAAAGGTGAACTGCAAATCTGAGCAAGTAGAGTTAATCCCAGATTTTTATGCCAAGTATGAGTGGGTGCTTAGTCCTGCGGGAGGTTTTGACTGACTTGTTTTAAAACTGCATCCCCCCACTTCTCAGTACATGCTGCAACTTCATAGATAGTTTACTAGATCAGTTACACTATCCGGCTCCTTACAACCCAATCCATAATACCTCTGGTATCTGCAATATCCAAAATTTGAGTTTCAGGCTCTGACACTGACTTTTTGTGGGGTCTTGGGCAAATCAAATTAGTATGGCCTTTTAAATGACAAAAAGTGATGTGATGGGGCTCTACGTTTGTTTACATCAACATTTCTAGATCAAATTTCCTCAGCTGACCAGTAAAAGGATGTTTTAAATGTCAGTCCTACAAATTCACCCTGGAAATGGCTCTTTCCTTCTTCTGTAACCTCAAAGATACTAAAGATGATGTAGGTCAAACTATGCAACCCCATTGACCTTTATTACCGATGAAGATGCAGGAGAAGTAAAGAACCCACTTTGAGTCTCAGATCTCAAGGTGAATTTGCAGACCTGAATTTAAAACACGTTTTTCCTGGTAAACTGAGCAAATTTTACCTGGAAACACTGACACACAAACATAGAATTATAGAAGTGCATGATGAAAGGGACCTCGAGAGGTTATCAAATCCAGTCCCCTGCCCTCAAGGCAGGGCTAGTAATAACTAGATCATTCCTGACAGGTGTTTATCTAACATAAAACACTGTTTCAATACTCTGTATTTTTACAGAGTAATATTTTAGAGCAGAAGTTCACTTTAACCTCTGTCTCAGTTTTCCCTATCTGTGAAATGGGGATAAATGTTCCATTCGCTTGCATATTTATTACTTTAAGAAATCCCTTACATATGAAAGTCATGGTATAAGACCACCAAGGCCATGTCTCTGCAGGGTTAAATGAAGGACAGGATGACAATACTTAGGCCATCTCTAAACTAGCACTTATGTTGGCAAAACTTTTGTCGCTCAGGGGTGTGAAAAAACACACCTCGGAGTGTCATAAGTTTTGCCGGCATAAGTGCGTTTGTGCACAGCACTCCATCGGCAGGAGATGCTCTCCTGCCAGGGGGCGGCTCCAGGCACCAGTGCAGCAAGCGCGTGCCTGGGGCGGCCTGCCGGTCGCCATGAGGGCAGAAGTCAGGCTGCCTTCAGCAGCATGCCTGCGGGAGGTCCGCCGGTCCCGCGGCTTTGGCGGCAATTCAGCAGCGGGTAGGCCGAAGGCATGGGACCGGCGGACCTTCTGCAGGCATGCCGCCGAAGGCTGCCTGACTGCTGTGCTTGGGGCGACAAAATACATAGAGCCACCCCGTCTCCTGCCAACATAGCTACTGCTGCTCATTACGCTGGTTTTATTATGTTGATTGGAGAGCTCTCTCCCGTCGGCATAACGCAGCTACAATAGTGCTCTTACAGTGGCACAGCTGTACTGATACAGCTGTGCCGCTGTAATCTTGTAAGTGTAGACATGGCCTAAGTTCAAAAAATAATTTCTTATGAAGACCCATGGTACCACTGGTCAAAAGGCTGCCTAATTCACTTAAGGAATATGTAAGGAGCCATATTCCCTTCCTCATGTGTGTCTACAGGGCTACCACTGAAATCAATAGGTAACCCACAGGGAGATCAGAGAGAAGATTTTGGTCCTTACTATTTAGTAAGCTATGGAGGACACTGCTGCAGAACTGTTCAGTAAGTTCAGAGAGCTACCAAAGCTCTCTGCTAGGCCAGCAACAACTTAAATGTACATTAATTTAAAATGCACAGTCAGACTCGTTAAGAAAAAGGGGAACTACACAATTTAACTTCTCAAAGGATATCATTAAATCCATGACGATGCCGCCTAATAAGGGTTTTTCTGATATTTAGAACATGTTGCAGTTAATAGCATTTTTCTAACTTTAAGTCAAGATAAGGCATTCTCATTACTAGTCTTACTGTATTGACCAGAGCTGATAGCGATTTCAATGATAGAGTCACTTATTTGAGTGGCAGGTTCTCCCTGAGAAAGCACATCTTCAGGTGGTCCAGGAAGAGAGATATCCAGCAGAGCAGAGACGTTGGGAGGACACAGATGGGTACTGGAGGCCTGTGACGGAGGAAGCGGAGGAGTGGAGAGACCATTCTGGAGAGGGGTCTTGGACAGTTCTGACAGAGAAAGGACTGATGTGTCCTGCTGTAAGAGTCAGAGAATGAACGAGTCACTAGTTTGCATAGGACTTGGACACTTCTAAAATTTACAACAGACAGATCATGTGTTGCGGAGATCCTGAGCATTGGGTTGAAAGAGAAGAACAGCTGGATGCAACAGAAGCAGAATAAAAATCAAGCAGAACAGACTCCTAGCATACCCTGTTCTGCCAGTCCAACTACCTGATGAAATATTTTTTTCATACCAAGAATAAGAGATCTACAGGTTCTATGCTCTGGACACCCATCAAAAACTTAAAACCACACAAAAGGACAGCTCACAAGCATACTCATCCCACTACTCAGCCCATACCCTCCTCAATAGCCTGACAAAAGTTGGGTTTTGCATCACACCCAAATGCAACTGATTTAAACTAGAGCATTTCCAAAACCTTCTACAACTGAAACCAGTGAGAGAGTTAATGAGAGGAGTCCCATTATACTACAAGACCATTCTTAACAGCTGAATATTGAATCAGGCTTTGTCAGCTGAGAAATATGCAGCTGCTTGGATATCATCCCTGATTTAATAAGACTTATTTTTCTTGACTAGACCCAGTGTCAGAGAATGGCTTTCCCCTTAGTAACACTACACCCACAGGGGTGGGGATGATCACTTCAGTACTATAAGCATATGGAATACTGCATGGCCTAACAAGTGGGAAAATATGGAGGACTTCTGCAGCCAGCAGGTTCCACTCCAAAAGTTAGCCCTACACCTTCTTCCACTAAAATAACTGGAGTTCCACCATTAAGTGCTCACATATATGTCCTTGACGAGTGTCTCAACATCACATTTGAAGTTGCATTAGCCACCAGACTGGTCTGAGGTTGTAAAATTAACATCCATCGAACAATCCTTGCTTCTGTAATTAGCCATGAGCTAGACACAAAGCTAAGTGTTTCTCTTAAGAAGATATTGGTTATGCAACTAGTACTTTCATCAAGATTACCTATTGGATAATGTTCCTCCTGCAGTGATACACAATGACAGCACAGCCAGAATACATAGTTTACTCCTGGGGAAATTCTGCATCACTGCACAATGCAGAATTTGCACAGAATTAATGTTCTGTGCAGAATTTCATTCCCCCCCTCCACAGAATTGATGCTGCAGAGCTGCTGGCTGCCATTAGGGGCTGCTGGACCCAGCAGAACCTGCCTCTCCAGCTCACAAATACAGGACACCATGGGGGAGGGGGTCAGAGCTGGAGGGTTCTGGGCAGCTGCAGTTCCCAGCATGTCCTGAAGGAAGGAGGCAGCATGCAGGAACACCATATGAGCCTGAGACCCAGCATCAGGCTGTTTCTCTCTCTGGATCCCTGGGCTCTGGTAGGTAGGGGGTGTCCCGTGGCTGGGCTCTCGGAGTAGGGGGTGTGGGTGTCTGAGACCAGAGGAGCAAAGTCCCCCCCCCCCCCAGATATGCCCATTTGGCATGTGTGACACACTCACACTGAGGCACACAACGAAAACATAACAGAGAAACAGGAACTAAGTTGTTGTAGGGGTTTCTTTAACTCTCTACTCGCTGGGGGAATTTTTTTTGTTTTGTTACAGACATACTTGCTGACAGGTATTTTGAAATAAATTACCAAAATAACTGAAACTAGTTTGATTATATTATGTTATTTTGGCAAATAAAATATGCAGAATTTTTTTATTGTGCACATAATTTTTAATTTTTTGGCGCAGAAGTCCCCCAGGAGTAATACTTATTTCAGTTCCTGGGGTCTACTTTCCCTTCAAACAATGTTTAAAATAGACTGGTGCAGTATAAAGGTACTTGTTTGCTTTGCTAAACACCTCCACTGTACCAGTCAATGCACAAGCGCAGCATTAAACAAGATTGGTTTGCTCTTCAGAGATCAGAACTTGTCAGTTTCACTCTGCTCTTCTGCTCTGAGTAGTATAAAATCACAACATAAGCAGCTGTCCACAGCAACCTGTGAGACTTCCATTCCAGCACAGTAACAGTCATGGAAAACAATTACCCTGATGGCTGTAGGAAGGGCCATATGACCTGCAGACTATTTCTACGAGAATGGTTAGAAAATGGGGGCATGGTGAAAAGGGGGCACTGGAATATGAGTCCCTAAATAATGCTTGTCTGAAGAACATCACTGCTATAAACTTCATGCAGCTGCTGTTTGATCAGCTCATACTGTACCTGGAATCCATCAGGGACCGCCTTCTGCTCTTGCTGTGTGGGTAGGTTAATGAAAGGAACCCGACACCTACTGCTTGAACCCTAGAAGTGCAAAAGGGACTACATGAGTCACACTTATACACCAACTATAGCAAACTTAGCAGGAGCTACAAGAGACAAGCACATATGATCATCCTTGCCACAATTTCCCCCCTTATCCTCTCTTCTGAGATGGGATCTCAGGAATACTGCTCTCTCCACTACCTCCCTGGGATGGTGGCAAACACTGACACCTGTTCTAGGTATGGATAAGGGAAACAGTAAGGGCCATCACAACTCCCACTTATAAAGTAATCTCCTAAAAGAGGATGCAGCTGGAAACAGAACGCAGGCACTTGGAGACCCATGTGAATATTCAATCACGGTAGGAGAAAGCTGTTCACTACTAGCACTGTCTTGTTGTGCCCACAATTCCTTACTCAATACATCTTTCTCAAATGGTGCCTTGCCTTTTGGCTTCAGACTTCTGGAGTGCAGATAAAATTGCACGGCTGTAAGACTCTCTACAGGATGGAAACCTATTTTCCAACACAGCAGTGCCTGTTTCCCTAGATTCTCCCCACCAGGTCCTGAACATCACACACCCACCAATCCACTCCGTCTTGGGCTAGGCTTGCTCTGAAAAATGCATCCATTCAACAAGCCTCAAGAGGAAGCTGACCGCAGAGTCACAATTAATACAGGGACTGGCTTTTTACACAAAACAACGGAGATGATGAATGCTTTGACAAGCCTATTCAAGAGATACTGACCCCTAGTGTGCCGATGGAGCTTCCATTCTGATCTGCCTCGGCCGACTCCTGCCCCATGACCACTGCAGCCACACCGTCTGGTGACAGCGGAGACACACCTGACAAGCCCTCAGAATCCAGGACAGGCAAGGGGCTGCCAGGGATAATACCAGCACTTTTAGCTGCCAAGTCAATAGCACCTTTGGTAAAATAGAGAGAAAAAGATATTAGAGATCTTTTCTTTCATTGACTGCCCATCTCTCCTATAAATATCTTTGTGGAGGAATTGAATCAGGCCATGTAGCTAAATCTTAACATAAGCATAGAGATGCAGAAGTGGTCATATTAGTTCAGATCCTGCAGATATGCTGGTTGTCCATATTTAGGAGGTGCAGCATTTTTAGCAAAATATTTATCATTTTTCCACTCTGTCCCCTTAAGGCACCCCCAAGTCCATTGTACTGCATTTCAATGGAGTTTAAAAGAGGTATCCCTATTTTTCTCCACAAATGTTCCTAGTAGCATTTACATGTCAGATATGCTGTTTGTCCACCTGGTTTTAAATTTTGCAGTACTGTAATGCAGTTAGTTGTGTAATTTCTGGGAAGTGCCTATAGTTTGAGAGAGGTGCTGTAAAACCAACATAACAGTCTCATCTAGTACCTTGCTTCTGGCTGCAGCCTAGGCTTGATATTTCTGTTGGAGGAAAAACCCATAATGCACTTGGCCAGCTGTGTTATTCTGCATGAGGGAGGAAGATTTCTCCATATTAGCTGATCAGCTTATTCTCTGAAGCATAAAGTTGTGCTCTGCATTTTAACTTGCACAGGGCACAGCATTTAGGGAACTTAAGCTTATCCAGCTCTTTCACAACCCACTTACTTACAACATTTAACTGTGTCTTCCTGTGGCAGAGAATTCCCTAGGCCAACTGCACACAATATGAAACAGGATAAAACGGTTACCTACCTTCTGTAACTGTTGTTCTTCGAGATGTGTTGTTCACGTCCATTACACATTAGGTGTACGCGCGTCGCATGCACAGACGTCAGAAACTTTTCCCCTCAGCGGCTCCCGTCGGGCCGGCAGGGTCCCCCCTCCCGCCAGAGCGGCACCCTGCTCTAGCGTATATATATCCCTGCGGGCCCGACCCACCCTCAGTTCCTTCTTGCCGGTGACTCCGAGAGAGGGGAAGGAGGGTGGGAAGTGTAATGGACGTGAACAACACATCTCAAAGAACAGTTACAGAAGGTAGGTAACCGTTTTTTCTTCTTCGAGTGATTGTTCAGGTCCATTACACATTAGGTGACTCACAAGCTTACCACTGGAGGAGGGTAGGAGTCAAGGAACAATTGATTGAAGCACAGCCCTGCCGACCACCGCGTCCTCTCTGGTCTGATGATGGATCGCGTAGTGGGCTGTGAACATATGCACCGAAGACCAGGTGGCCGCTTTACAGATTTCCTGGAGTGGAACCTGCGCCAAGAAAGCCGCCGAGGACGCTTGGGCCCTAGTCAAGTGAGCCCTGATCTCCGGGGCTGGTACGTTGGCGAGCTCATAGCAAGTGCATATGCAAAGCACAATCCATGCTGACAAGCGTTGCACTGAGATAGGCTGGCCTTTCTTTCTCTCCGCAATGGCAATGAACAGTTGCGTCGACTTGCGGAATGGCCTGGTCCGTTCTAGATAAAATGCCAAGGCTCTACGGACATCGAGGGTATGCAGGCTGCGGTGGCTTGGGTCCGTATGGGGCTTAGGGAAGAACACAGGTAAACAAATGTCCTGTCCCATATGAAATTGTGTGACCACCTTAGGAAGGAATTTGGGGTGCGGCCTCAGTTGGAAGTTATCCTTATAAAAAACTGTATAAGGAGGTTCTGAAGTGAGGGCTCTCAATTCCGATACCCTCCTAGCCGATGTGATGGCCACTAGAAACGCTACCTTCCATGAGAGGTGCATGAGGGAGCAAGAGGCTAGGGGTTCAAAGGGCGGCCCCATGAGTTTAGTTAGGACCAGGTTAAGATTCCATGCAGGGACCGGCGGGCGCGAGTAGGGAAACACCCTCTCCAGCCCCTTGAGGAATCGGACTACTGTGGGGTTGGAGAACACCGAAACCCCCAACTCTCCAGGGTGGAATGCCAATATGGCAGCCAGATGCACTTTAATTGAGGTGGGGGCGAGCCCTTGATGCTTGAGGTGCAGCAAGTAGTCCAGTATTGATGGGACGGAGGCCTGCAGAGACTGTATGTGATGAGGCTCACACCAGTGGGAGAACCTCTTCCATTTGGCAAGGTAGGTCGCTCTTGTGGAGGGCTTCCCACTACCAAGCAGAATTTGCTGGACCTGGTGGGAGCACCTGTGCTCTGTATCGTTTAGCCAGAGAGATACCACGCCGTGAGATGTAGCGATGGTAGGTTTGGGTGGAGTAGGCGACCCCGGTCCTGTGTGATGAGGTCGCGATGGAGGGGGAGGGCGATCGGGGCGGTCACGGACAGTTCCAGCAGGGTCGTGAACCAATGCTGGCGTGGCCACGCCGGTGCGATGAGGATGACTGTCGCCTTGTCCCTGCGGGTCTTGAGCTGGACCCTGTGGATGAGCGGGAATGGTAGGAAGGCATACCTCAGGCTCCTGCCACACGGAATCGCGAAGGCATCTGCCACTGAGCCCGGGCTGAGGTTCTGGAATGAACAAAACTGAGGGCATTGACTGTTGTCCTTGGTGGCAAAGAGATCCACCTGGGGAAACCCCCACCTCTGGAAGATTGAATGCAGGACGTCCTCTCTCAGAGTCCATTCGTGCATGTGGTAGGACCGGCTGAGGTGGTCTGCTAACCCGTTTTGGACCCCTGGGAGATATGCTGCCAGTAGGTGGACTGAATGGGCTACACAGAAGTCCCATAGGAGGAGCGCCTCGTGACAGAGGGGAGAGGATCGGGACCCGCCCTGCTTGTTTATGTAGAACATGGCGGTAGTGTTGTCCGTCAGAACTGACACGCTGTGGCCTTCTATGGTAGCGTGAAAGGTCTGGCAGGCGAGGCGAACTGCCCTTAACTCCTTCAGATTGATGTGAAGCAACTTTTCTTCCCTGGACCATAAGCCCTGGGTCCGTAGGTTCCCAAGGTGCACACCCCAGCCCAGGTCCGATGCGTCTGTTACTAACGTCAGAGTGGGTTGCGGGGTGGCGAAAGGGACCCCTTCGCAAACCTGCTGCTGATCGAGCCACCAGCGGAGGGAGTTCGACACCCGAGCTGGGATTGTCACTACTAGGTCTAAGGGGTCTCTGTTGGGGCGATACGTTTGGGCCAGCCACAACTGTAATGGCCTGAGTCTTAGGCGGGCATATCTGACTACATGTGTGCAAGCCGCCGTGTGTCCCAAGAGTTGCATACAGCATCTGGCCGTGGGGAATTGTTGGATGGAGCTTACGACCCTTTGAATGGCCAAGAACCGTGACACTGGAAGACTTGCCCATGCCGCCACGGAGTCCAGGACTGCTCCTATGAAATCCAGTCTCTGCGTGGGGATCAGTGAGGACTTGGGTACATTGACCAGTAGACCGAGCTCGCGGAACACCCGTAGTGCCAGTGTCACGTGGGAGCAGACCTCGTCCTCCGACCTGCCCGCGAGGAGCCAGTTGTCCAAGTACGGGTATACCCATCTTTCTTTTCCGAAGAAAGGCTGCCACCACGGACATGCATTTTGTGAACACTCGCGGGGCCGTTGCTAGGCTGAAGGGCAAGACCGTAAATTGGAAATGGTGTTGGTTGATGATGAAGCGCAGGAACCGCCGGTGGGCTGGGCGGATGGCGATGTGAAAGTACGCATCTTTCATATCGAGGGCAGCGTACCAATCTCCCGGATCCAGGGATGGGATAATAGCACCAAGGGAGACCATACGAAAACGTGCCTTGACCAAAAATTTGTTTAGTCTGCGTAGATCCAAAATGGGACAGAGGCCCCCTTTTGCTTTGGGAATGAGGAAATATCTGGAGTAAAACCCTTTCCCCCTTAGGTCCGGAGGAACCTCTTCCACTGCTCCTACTTTGAGGAGGGCCCGTACCTCCTGCATGAGGAGTTGCTCGTGAGAGGGGTCCCTGAAGAGGGATGGGGGGTGGGAGGGAGGGGGTGAGGAGAACTGAAGGGTGTATCCCGCCTCCACCATGCGCAGGACCCAGCGGTCCGATGTTATACGGGACCAAGCATGGTAAAAATGGGACAGGCGGTCCCTGAAACATAGAGGGGGATCCGGTATAAGGGTTGGTACGCTGTCCTCGATCGCAGCTTCAAAACCCTTGCTTATTTCCCGGCTGCGGCTTGCCTTGGCCGTGGTTTTGGCCCTGGTTAGGCGTGTTGTTACGTCTACGCCTGTTATCCCTGCCCCTTCTGCGGTACGGTTCCTATCTAGGACGAGGGTGGTATTGCCTCTGCGGTGGTTGGGGCTTAAAGGGTTTCCTCTGTGTCACTGGGGTGTGCATTCCCAATGACTTGAGGGTTGCTTGAGAGTCTTTGAGGCTATGTAGTCTGGCATCCGTCTGGTCCGAAAACAAGCCTGACCCCTCGAACGGAAGGTCTTGCAAGGTGTTTTGCACCTCTGGGGGAAGGCCGGAAGCCTGTAGCCATGCCGAGCGCCGCATCACTACTCCTGACGTGATTGTCCTGGCAGCTGCGTCCGCGGAGTCAAGGGAGGGTTGCAGAGAGGTTTTGGCTACTGCCTTCCCTTCGTCCACTATGGCCGCAAACTCAGGTTGTGAACCTTGGGGCAGGGATTCCTTAAACTTGGAGACTGATGCCCAAGAATTGAAGTTGTGTCTGTTCAGAATCACTTGTTGGTTAGCGATCCTCAACTGGAGGCCCCCGGACGCGTAGACCTTCCTCCCAAATAAGTCCAAGCGTTTTGCCTCCTTGGCCTTGGGGGCCGGGGCTTGCTGGCCATGTCGCTCTCGTTCGTTAACCGCAGAGACGACCAGCGAACAGGGTGTTGGGTGAGAGAAGAGGAAGTCGAACCCTTTAGAGGGGGCGAAGTATTTCCTCTCCACGCCTTTCGCAGTTGGTGCACTGGATGCCGGTGTTTGCCATACTGTTTTATAGTTGGACTGTACCGTTTTTATGAGTGGGAGTGCGATCCTGGAGGGGCCCTCCGGGCTTAGGATGTCCACCATGGGGTCCTCCTGCTCTACCGTCTCCTCCGCCTGCAACCCCAGATTGAGGGCTACTCGGCGGAGCAGTTCCTGGTGCGCCCGATGGTCAATCGGGGGAGGGCCGGACACTGTCGTGTCCGCCACGGCTTCGTCTGGCGAGGAGGAAGAGGTTAGGTCCTTCTGTGCGTCTTCCTCTTCCTGCAACTCCTCACCGACTGGGCGCTCCTCCGGAGTCTGCCCTATGATGTGGGTCTGAGACGGTGCCGGGCTCGGTGCCGAGTCAGCTCTTTCTCGCTCCGGTGGTCTGGAGACCGTGGCCTCCTTGCGAGAGGAGGGGCGCCCCTGCGGAGAGCGGGACCGGTGTCCCGAGGGCCCAGATCTCGAGGTCCTGGACAGGGGGCCTTGCTGGTGGTAGGCCCAAGGGATCCAGAATGGCCATTGTCCTCGCTGGCCCCATTGTGGGTGCCAAGCAGCTTCGTGTTCTCTACTGTGGGTATATCTGCTGGACCGGCCCGAGTCTGCCTCCGAAACCGCGGACGGTGACCTGGAAGGCCACGGCGGTGCTGTGGGACGGTGCCGGTCCGGGGTCGGAGAGTAGTGCCTCCGTGACCGGGACTGGGAGTAGCGTCTTGCCGACCTGGACCTGGATCGGTACCGGTGACCTCAGGACTGGGAACGACTGCGAGTGGTCGGTCTTGGGGATCGCGTGGCTGACACGTCCCGGTGCCTACTCGAGCAGGGCTGCTGGGTCGGTGCTGGGCGCTTATTGGGGCCCAACGGCTGTGCGGCTCTCTGCACAGAGGAAAGCCGGGAGTCCACTGAGGCGGAGCTCGACCGGGACCAGCGCCGTGAATGGTGCCGAGATGGCGACCGTGATGGGCGCACCATTGCCGGTTTGCCTCTGGATGGCAGTCTCGGCGGATTGTCTTTAGCTTGGAGGTGGCCCTCAGCGGACAATTCAATGAGGTCCTTTGCTGCCTCAAACGTGTCCGGGGTGGAGGGCTGTTCCAACAGCTCCTCCAGTCCTTTCTCCTCACTCGATGCGCCTATCCCGGGGCTTGACGGGCCTTTCGGCGCCGGAGGCACTGTCACCGGGATCTGTGCTGGGGCCGCAACGCCCTTAGGCGCACTCGAGTTCTTCGCGGGCGCTACCCTCTTATGTGGGGAGCGTCCTCGGGCCTTGGGTTGGCCCTTCGATTTTGCCGGCAAAGACGACCGGTGCCGGGGGTGTTCCTGCTGTTTCGGTGCTGTAGGCTTAGGGTGCCCCGCCGGTGCTGGATCACGAACTGATGCCGGGGCACTCCGCACCGAGGTTGACGGTGCCGCCGAAGTGGAGGGCTGTAATGCCATCTCCAGGAGCAGCTGCTTAAGGCGAAAGTCTCTCTCTGTTTTAGTCCTGGGCTTGAAGGCCTTACAGATCTTGCAACGCTCTTTTTGGTGTGCTTCCCCCAGGCAACGGAGACACGAGTCGTGGGGATCGCTTATCGGCATAGGCTTGCTGCACGAGGCACAAGCCTTGAAGCCTTGGGAGTGCGGCATGCCCTGCCGCCCAGGGCCGGTGTCGGGATTGACCAAACACCTAAACAAAGGAGCTTAAGTACTTCTAAAGATCTGATAACACTAGCTACTAAAGAACTGAGAACTGCTAAGATTAACACTAACTACTATGCTAAGGGACACTCTCAGACGAGAGACAGAGTTGTTCCAACGCCGCCATGGACGGTAAGAAGGAACTGAGGGAGGGTCGGGCCTGCAGGGATATATATATACGCTAGAGCGGGGCGCCGCTCTGGCGGGAGCGGGGACCCTGCCGGCCCGACGGGAGCCGCTGAGGGGAAAAGTTTCTGACGTCCGTGCACGCGACGCGCGTACACCTAATGTGTAATGGACGTGAACGATCACTCGAAGAAGAATCCTGGTTACATGTTCTCACTACCAGTTCATTTAATTAAGGGGCATGTTCTTTTGTTATGGGGCAGGGTAGAAAGGAGGGATTGGTGAGGTCCCCTCCATGTCCAGTATTCCAAATCTTGTCTTGGTGGATAAACTATTAGGGCTTAAAACAAAATGTAACACATACATATGCAGAGCTGAACCTGAGCCACAAAGTCTGTATTCTAACTTTCCCCAGAGATCAGGGGATCCATGATGCTGGGTCTGGTTCAGATCCATAGATACATCCATTCATCCATATGCCAAGTGTTAGGATACGAGCATGGTATGTGATACTAGTTTGGAGTGTGTCATCAGTGCCCACTCTCCTTCGCTACAGCAAATCTCTCCATACCTATTGTGATGCAAACTGTTTTTATGTACAGCAAAGTATATATAAAAGCAAGCAAAACATTTTAAAGGCACCAAGGATTTGTACTTGAATGCAGGAAATCAAAATATGCCACTTTTATGAGGGGAGACTTACTGGACAGGTGATTGGTAGCTTGTGTTGGAAGAACCTTGGGCACAATGGGTCGAGAAACGGCAGCTTTAGTCAGTGAAGACTGGATTGGCCGAAATGAACCTCTCCCTAAAGAGTGAAGAATTAAATCTCAGAAGGAGCCAAAACTGGACATCTTCCTTAAACCAAAACACAGCACAGTTAAATGGGAGCAACTTTAACAATCAAGAGGTAGAGGGAATTCTAAGCAGCTTCCAAACTAAGCTGACACTGAAAGCAGTGATGAAGTTAAGACTTCAAATAGTAGCAGCACAAGCTAATCATTGTCAGGCAAGGCAATGGCAATATTGCATGTAACCACAGCTGCATGCCATTATTTCCAATTAAAATAACCTTGAGGTTCTAATGCTGATTTTGAGATCCATGGTGGGATGCAAATTAACCTGTGTCAGTGCTATATTCAAGAAAAGGCCAGAGGGAAAGGCCAAATGGCAGACAAAATACTGGTCAGTGAATCTATTTCACCATATGAAATTCACATAACATTCTGACGCTAGACAAAGCCTAACGTAAAGTTGAGTATGACTACTCTCCAAGGAAAAGAACTCCTGGCTCAAATTCTGTTTCTTTATGTAGAATCCCATGGAACTGGGGTTAGGAAAGAGGGAGAGAAACCGAGGAGAAATGATTTTTACATAGCTTGTAATAATCAAGAAGCAGAAGCTTGTCACCCCCAGGACATGACTCAACTAAACTGGTGAATGGTTGTAATTTTGAAAGGACTTTTTTTTTTTTTCCTTTTTCTTTTAAAGATTATTCCCTTACTCCTCACCACACACAGTGGTAAGAGAGCCTTTCTAATTCATCCCAACGCAGCATCAGCTCAGAACTTAATATTTCCCCACTATGGATCTTCATTTTGTAATGCAGAAAGGGCAGACGCACCTGTTATGGAAGAGTTGGATAAGATGGAGAAGGAGCAGACATGCTGGGACGGATTTCCCGATGGCCTGGGGAGCAGTGTTCTCTGCATGGGGGAGATAACAGACCAAAACAAATTTCAAAACAGAACAAAGTGAGTTGGTTTCATATAGTGGCTTTTGCAGTTGTGATGCCTTACTGAATAAGGAGTTGAATGTCAGTACAGCAGAGACTACGTGGGCACACACCAGTCAGATGCGGCAAGAACCCTTTCTGCTTCTGTTTGAGAGGAAATGTAAGCAACATGCCTCTTCTTTCTCTGCAAAGTACCATGACACTGAACTTCCATCTAGACTACATCCAGAGATAGATGTGAAGTCAAACTCAGCTCCTGTCTCACTGTTAGTATAGCAGTCTCCGAGTCCCTAGAGCAGTCGTTCTCAAACTTTTTTTTTCACGGACCACTTGAAAATTGCTGAGGGTCTCGGCGGACCACTTAATCATCTTTCCAAATGTTGTCTGTACCGTTAGCTAACTATTGTAAAGTGCTTTGGATAAAAGTGCTATATATATATATATATATATATATTATATATATAAAAAAACAACGTAATAAACTTTTTTTTGTTCTACAAATAAAAGCCCACAACTCATATTTTAATATCAGTAGTCTTACCTTTCTAATGTGATGATGTGCCCTCTCTCCTCCGCCACGGCAGCCACAGAGCTGAGGCTGGGGAGGAGGGGGGTCTCTCCCTCTCTCCCCCACCGTAGCAGCCACAGAGCTGAGGCTGGGAAGAAGGGCCATCTCTCCCCAGCAGCCGCAGCCCTGGAACTGGGGAAAGTCGCCTCTTTCTCTGGCCGCTGCAGCCCTGCACATCCCAAATTCCTCTCATCCCCTCTTCTCACCCCACTGCTCCCTCCCACCTACCCCTTATTCCCCCCAAGGCCACTACCTGCATCTTCTCCAGGGTCCAGGCATCTAATTAGTGGAACCATGCCTGCACAGCTCCACTAATTAGATGGATGGCCCTTCATTCTCTTGTGTGCAGCCGCCCAGGCACGCACCTTAGAGGGAACTATCGGCGGACCACCTGAATGGAGCTCGTGGACCACAATTTGAGAACCTCTGCCCTAGAGTATTACACTGTAGTGTCACCTTTGAGCATGGGCACAAGCTTTTGTGTGGGACTTGATCCTCTGTCATGGTTATTAACTAAATGATAATAAACAACGAAGGAAACTACATTCAGAAATTTTAAAAGATGGAACTGTATGGAACAGAACATCTCACTGAGGCCTGTCAAATGCAATTTCTTAGACACCGGAGACCTCTAAGGCAGAGCGTGGACTCTCTCTTCTTGTCCCTTACATATAGCTAAGGGGACTAAAGAGCCCCTGGTCACATGCTAGCATTTCATAAGACTTTCAAACAAATGTCAAATAATTTTCCCATTTTCTTATACTTTGTTGTTCCTGCCAGTCACATCAGCCCCGAGTCTCCCCTTCCCCCCACCATCTGTGCTTTTATAATCATATTTTCCTTTTTGGCTGGGATTTGCAGGGAGCCTTAGAGAGGCCAATGATAACCACCTACCAGTGAAATTCAGAAGGAGCTGGACACCTTGCTCCCTTCAACCCCACTGAAATTCCCAGCCTTCATTTTTAAATTAGTGCCCCTTTGAACTGAGTTTGTTTTTTCTGGTATAATCTGCCTCCCCTGCATTCTGTAGACATTTCAAAAACAAACAAACAGTCAGTGGAAAGACAAATTGAAGATCTTGTTGCAATAAGGAATGAGACACCAGGATTTCAAATGTACACAAGAGATAAAAGTCTGCAGGACTGAAGTATAAAGCAGAATCCCAGTTAGAATATTCCACTTGTTCCAAACATTCTTCCAGACCAAGTATATTTTTGCTTTCCCAACCTCCCTTCCATGTGGCTACACTACACTGTTACTACAGCTGCTGAGGCAGGAATCTAACCAGGTTAGTTATTAAAGAGGCCAAAAGATAAAGTTACTTACCTTGTGCAGTAATGATGGTCCCCTCTCCCCCCCCCCCCCCCCCCCCGGTCCCCCCCTGGGGGGGTGTATGTGTCCCTGTACTTCTAATCAGAGACCTTTGGTACCAGTCTCTGTTCAGCCTGCACATGCTCTCTATCCCCCTCCCTCTGTGCTCTGCCTCGAGGCTAATTAGCACTGCACGGGTGAACCCTCAGTTCCTTCTCTATTCTGAAGTAGAGGGGAGGAGGGAGAAAGGGTTGTTCAGCAACCATAGGGACACACATCTTGAAAAACCATCGTTACTGCACAAGGTGAGTAACTTTCTCTTCTTGAGTAGTGTTCTATGGGTGCTGCACTGTAGATGACTCCTGAGCAGTATCCCCAATGGGAGGTTGGGGCTTCGGAGTCTAGTTTGTTATGGATGATAGTCCTACGACGCTGAAGATGGTGTCAGAAACAAACAGTCTCCAGTAATTGCAGTGTTCTGCGAACGTATGAGAAGATGCCCAAGTCATTGCTCTGCAGATTTCCAAGATAGGGACATTCTTGAGGAAGGCAACGAAGGAGGAAACCAACCTCGTGGAGTGTGTGTGGATTCCAGATGGAGGTACCACATTGCAAACATTACAGACGTGAAAAGCAACAGAGGGTCCTGTGGCACCTTTGAGACTAACAGAAGTATGGGGAGCATAAGCTTTCGTGGGTAAGAACCTCACTTCTTCAGATGCAAGTAATGGAAATTTCCAGAGGCAGGTATAAATCAGTAGGGAGATAACGAGGTTAGTTCAATCAGGGAGGGTGAGGTGCTCTAGCAGTTGAGGTGTGAATACCAAGGGAGGAGAAACTGCTTCTGTAGTTGGATAGCCATTCACAGTCTTTGTTTAATCCTGATCTGATGGTGTCAAATTTGCAAATGAACTGGAGCTCAGCAGTTTCTCTTTGGAGTCTGGTCTTGAAGTTTTTTTGCTGTAAAATGGCTACCTTTACATCTGCTATTGTGTGGCCAGGGAGGTTGAAGTGTTCTACAGGTTTTTGTATATTGCCATTCCTGATATCTGACTTGTGTCCATTTATCCTCTTGCGTAGTGACTGTCCAGTTTGGCCAATGTACATAGCAGAGGGGCATTGCTGGCACATGATGGCATATATAACATTGGTGGACGTGCAGGTGAATGAGCTGGTGATGTTGTAGCTGATCTGGTTAGGTCCTGTGATGGTGTTGCTGGTGTAGATATGTGGGCAGAGTTGGCATCGAGGTTTGTTGCATGGGTTGGTTCCTTAGTTAGAGTTGTTACGATGCGGTGCGTGGTTGCTGGTGAGAATATGCTTAAGGTTGGCGGGTTGTCTGTGGGCGAGGACTGGCCTGCCTCCCAAGGTCTGTGAAAGTGAGGGATCATTGTCCAGGATGGGTTGTAGATCACTGATGATGCCTTGGAGAGGTTTAAGCTGAGGACTGTAGGTTATAGCCAGTGGAGTTCTGTTGGTTTCTTTTTTGGGCCTGTCTTGTAGCAGGAGGCTTCTGGGTACACGTCTGGCTCTGTTGATTTGTTTCTCTATTTCCTTGTGTGGGTATCGTAGTTTTGAGAATGCTTGGTGAAGATCTTGTAGGTGTTGGTCTCTGTCTGAGGGGTCGGAGCAGATGCGGTTGTACCTCAGCGCTTGGCTGTAGACGATGGATCGTGTGGTGTGTCCGGGGTGGAAGCTGGAGGCATGAAGGTAGGCATAGCGGTCGGTGGGTTTTCTACAACCCATCCTGGACAATGATCCCTCACTTTCACAGACCTTGGTAGGCAGGCCAGTCCTCGCCCACAGACAACCCGCCAACCTTAAGCATATTCTCACCAGCAACCACGCACCGCACCATAACAACTCTAACTCAGGAACCAACCCATGCAACAAACCTGGATAACAATGGATGATGCCCAAATCTGCAACATATTTCAGTAACCACTGTACAGCAAAATCTCATAAGATCATACACACTGATGTACATATTTTCATCAGATCATGATTTTTTCTATGATATATTATATGGCACGCTTTGTATGAAATATCAAAATCATATATAAATGATGAATATGGGGATTACAGGACACTACTTTGAGGTACACAGTTCTACAGTGACCCTAGATGCCCGGGAGGCCTGGTGTGGCCACTGTGGCAGTGGAAAGGGCATGGGTGGCAGAGCCCATGGCTGGTCATACCGTGGGGTTGGGATCCAGAGTGAAAATGTGCCTGGGAAGGTCCGAGCTGATGGTGGGAGGGAGCATAATGTTAGTGAGAGAGAACCTCCTGCTGGCCGCTATCATTTGGAGGTGCAGATAAGGAGACTGGAGGCAAACTGCTCAGTACTGGTGGTGATTTAGGGTTTGAGATGCATCCAGTACTGAGTAAAGGAAACTGGGATTTCAGATATCACCAGGTTCTTAGAAAATCTGAACTCCTGCAGTGCCATGGTCATCAGTACTGTCAGGGCTTGCCAGTGCTGACTCGTCAGTACCGAAGCAATCGGCGATCTTGACCAGGATGAGTGGTCCAATGAGGTTTAGTTGGTTTTGGTACTGAGGGTTTCCGTATCGGTGCCAACTTCCCATAGGCAGTACGGTCTGTGCTTCTGTCTGACAGGCAGTACCATTACCTCAGCACCCGTGCCCAGAGGGTCCTTAGGCTTACTCCAGGTGTCCTCACTGGATGACCCACACGACTTGTTTAGGAGCCATCGGTACCAAAGTGACCGAATGTGATGGGGATGTCCTCTAGCTGGTTAGGGACTCACTGTGAGGGCTTGTGGCTCTCTTTTTGGAGAGGTTTCACAGGGAATCTGAAGGTTTCTTCCTCAGTTCACCCGTTTTGGAAGTAGAAGGCTGCAGTGATGGCTCTCATCGCTGAGGAGACTCAGGACCCAGGTCAACTGCAGGTTGCAGAGCTCCCACCATCGGAAGTAGTTTTAGCTTTATTTCCCAATTTTTCCAGGATCTGGCTTTCAGTTGCTGGCACAAAACACACTTTTGGGGAATGTGGGCCTCCCAGAGGCACCATATGCAGCAGGACTATCCATCTGTTACAAGTATGGACTCCTTACAGGAGAGGCACCTCTTCAACCTGAGGGAGCTGGGCATGCCCCTTGATGGGGGCAATCCCCAGTAAAGGGGGAAAAAATAAAATAAAAACTTAGGGGGGGTGGAAGGTAAAAGAATAGCAATGGACCCTATCACCTAAGAAAACGCACACGAAAACACTAAGGCTATGTCTATGCTGCACTTTTGTTAAACTTCTGTTGGTTAGTCTGTGGGGAAAAAAACCCACCCCTAACTGACAAAAGTTTTAGTGACAAAAAACGCTGGTATGGACAGTGCTTTGTTGGCAGGAGATGCTCTCCTGCCAACAAAGCTTCTGCTTCTCATGGGGGGTGGCTTTATTTTGCAGGCAGGAGAGATCTCCTGCCGGCAAAGAGCAGCTACACTGCGTACCTTAGCCGCTGTAAGGTACGCACTAAGGTACGCAGTGTAGACATAGCTTAAGAATGACTAAGATAAAGGATTTCTAAAGATCTAAAGTATCTGTGAACGGACTGCTAATCGCACCATCTCTAGCCAGGGGTGGTTGGGAAGGAAGTAAAGGCGGCTCGCTGCGCATAATTAATTAGCCTACAGGCAGAGCACGAGGAGAGAGCACGTGTGTGGGCCGAACAGACACTGCTACTGAAGATCTCCGATCAGAAACACAGGGACACATATACACCTACAGTGGAGCACCCATAGGGACACTACTCAAAGAAGAATCCTTGTTCCCTACAACTCTTCAGTTTTATTTCCCCAGAGGACATGACAGAGGAAGCTAAACTCTTATTTTTAGGTTTCAGAGTGGTAGCCGTGTTAGTCTGTATCAGCAAAAAGAACGAGGAGTACTTGTGGCACCTTAGAGACTAACAAATTTATTTGAGCATAAGCTTTCGTGGGCTAAAACCCACTTCATTGAATGCATGCAGTGGAAAATACAGTAGGAAGATATATATACACAGAGAACATGAAAAAATTGGTGTTGCCATACCAACTGTAACGAGAGTAATTCATTAAGGTGAGCTATTATCAGCAGGAGAGAAAAAAAACTTTTGTAGTGATAATCAGGATGGCCCATTTCCAACTGTTGACAAGAAGGTGTGAGTAACAATAGGGGAAAAAGTTAGCATGGGGAAACAGTTTTTACTTTGTATAATGACCCATCCACTCCCAGTCTTTATTCAAGCCTAATTTAATGGTGTCTAGTTTGCAAATTAATTCCAATTCTGCACTTTCTCATTGGAGTCTGTTTTTGAAGTTTTTCTGTTGGAGTATTGCGACTTTGAGATCTGTAACTGAGTGACCAGGGAGGTTGAAGTGTTCTCCGATTGGTTTTTGAATGTTATAATTCTTGACGTCTGATTTGTGTCCATTTATTCTTTTGCATAGAGACTGTCCGGTTTGGCCAATGATAATAGCTCACCTTAATTAATTACTCTCGTTATAGTGTGTATATATCTTCCTATTGTATTTTTCCACTGCATGCATCCAATGAAGTGGGTTTTAGCCCACGAAAGCTTATGCTCAAATAAATTTGTTAGTCTCTAAGGTGCCACAAGTACTCCTCATTCTTCTTATTTTTAGGAAAACCTCACTGACGGTCTACACAGCAAGCAAACAAACTCCAGACTCAGTCAATTTCTCTGACCTGTACCACCAATGGCTTCCGCAGGTGCCTGTTCCGCAATCTCCTTGGTTTTGGCAAGAAGTAGTCTGACTGCATCTGGGGGGGGGGGGGGGGGGGGGAAGGGAAGAGAAAGAGAAAGGAAACATGTTACACAGTATTTTGACCACCCAGTCATGAAAAATTCCTCCCTACACTCTGTTGATGAATAACGTATCTATTAAAGACACCAGAAACAAAACAACAGCTCTTTACCAAAACACCCCAGCAAGAAGCTGGGAATGGGCAACAGGATGGATCACTTGATTACCTGTTCTGTTCATTCCCTCTGAAGCACCTGGCATTGGCCACTGTCGGAAGACAGGATACTGGGCTAGATGGACCTTTGGTCTGACCCAGTATGACCGTTCTTAAGTTTCAAACCAGTCTAAAGTTCTTCATGCCAAAACTACCTGCAGACCATATATACCTCCATCATCTTTGGTGTATGTACAGAGTATTGAAAATGTATATTATTCTAACTGCAGGCTGCTTAAAGTTAGACTTCAATGAGGGAAAAGCGCCACTGAACTATGTACACTACGTTTAATTTCCCTAAACTAGAAATTGATACTTTAAGGTCATCTTCCAGGTCTCTGCAGCATTGAAGCAGCTTGGTCCAACTGACCGGGCATTAGACTGGGAATCAGGAGACCTGGGTTCTATTCCTGAGTCTGCTCCCAATTTGCTGTGAGACTCTGGGCAAGTCACCTCACCTCTACATGCTTCTGCCTCCCCTGCTCCCCCATACTTGGTCTGTTTGTCTATCTACACTTAGGCAGTTTGGGGCAGGACCAGTCTCACTGCGTGTTTGTAGAAGGTCTAGCACAATGGGGCCCTGATCTCTTTTAGGGCCTCTAGGAACTACTCCAATAACTTTTTCTGTCAGGAATACTCATTTTGTAAACTGAGCAATACATTCTTTTACCAGCTTTATGGGGAGGAAGCTCACTCCCAAAGGAAATGTTTTACTAACTACTCATCTATCATGGTTTGGTATGAGGTTCCTTACCTGTTACTGGAGGTTCCTGGAGATGAACCTGTATTCCGCTGTGGATTACACATGTGCAACAGGCACTCAGAATTTGAAAGTAGTGTCCGTTGAGCCACACATCCGCCCCAACTTGCTTCGTGCTTCTGTCTGTAGTGACAAAGGGCAGGGCAGATCGCATCTCCAGTTCCTTCTCCAATGTGAATCTGGCAGATCCGAAGCAGAGGAGGAGGAGAGCGGAAAGTGGAATACAGATGGTGACCACCCATCTCGAAGAACCTCTAGTTAGAGGTAAGTAACCTCTTCTTCAAGTGATGGTCCCTATCGTTATTCCATTGTGGGTGACTGACAAGCAGTACTTATGTAGGAGGAGGATGTGAGGATGACGACAGAAGGTTCGTGTGGAGAACCACCATGCGAAAGGAGTCATCTGCCACCAAGTCCTGCACCTGGACTTCCTGATTGTTTTTGTTCTCTGTAGGTAAAAGGTCAAAGCCTGTCAGACACTGAGGGGAGACAGGGATGGTCTAGACAGTATTTGGTCCTGCCATGAGGGCAGGGGACTGGACTCTGACTTCTCGAGGTCCCTTCCAGTCCTAGAATCTAGGAATCTATGTGGGAAGAAAACAGGTAGGTGAATGGATTGGTTAATACGAAACGTTTGGTAATAAATAAAATTTCAGGAGTAGGTGCAGAGACTTTATCCTTGAAGAATATTGTAAATGGCATCATAGTCCTTAGTTCACCAACCCTTCTCGGTTAAGTGATGGCAACAAGGCAGGTGACCTTCATGGAGAGGAGGAACATGGAGCAGGACGCCACTGGCTCAAAAGGGGGATTTTGTCAATACTGAAAATATCAGATTCAGGTCCCACTGAGGTGTGATCATTTGTAGAGTGGGAAGGTTCTCAGGAGGCCTTTCTAAAATCTATCGGTTAGTGGGTGTGTAAAAACTGAATAACCCTCTGTTGGAGGACGGAACACACTAATTGCTGCTAGATAGACTTGCAAGCAGCTGAGAGTGAGACCTGGTATCTTTAGGGACAGAATGTAGTCCAGGATTAGGGAAATCTCTGCAGCTTCTGGAATCACACCTTTATGCTGTGGGACATTGCGGGGTTCCCATGGCATGGGGCACCAGCAGCTCCAAGGAAGGTGAGGAGATAGCTCAGTGGTTTGAGCATTGGCCTGCTAAACCCAGGGTTGTGAGTTCAATCCTTGAGGGGGCTACTTAAGGATCTGGGGCAAAATCAGTACTTGGTCCTGCTAGTGAAGGCAGGGGGCTGGGTTCGATGACCTTTCGGGGTCCCTTCCAGTTCTATGAGATAGGTATATCTCCATATAGAAGATAGTTACTACCATGGTTGTGCCAGTCTCTGTGGTGGTGCATAGGAGTGGTATGGGAAAGGCGATTCTTCAGTCAGTTCAGATTCATCCGAAAAAGAGGACTGGTTCCAAAGGCAGTACCATTGGAGCCAATGGAGAGGTGTATAGCATACATGTGAGGGGGTGATAGCCCCTGTACCACAGGAACATCTTATGGCAGAGATCTGAGTTCCCTGGAAGTGGAAGGACCCGATGGGAGGAGATGACTATGGATCCAGTAAAGCAAAGACATCTTGGGGTGCAGCCACAGCTCAGGATCTCCCTGGCAGAAGGGACACTACACTCTCATTTCTGGCCGCTGGTACTGATGCTTTACTGGTGCTGGAGGGTCTCACGTTTTGTGAGGTGCCGGAGATGGCGGTACCAAGCGGTCCACTGCCTGGAACCAGTGTTCTCACTGTTTGTGGGCCTTTTTCTTGTGCCTGTGGAACGTAGAACATATGTTGTCCCATTGGGCCGAGCTGGTGGAAGGAATGTTTCTTTGAGGTAAGACTTGAAGGAAAATTTAGTCCCATGCCTATGGGAGTGCTTCCTAATCTCCCAAATAGGCCCCTGACATCAGCTCTGTGGGGGTGGCTCCGCCGTTACCAGAGTTGGATGTAGTAGCAGCAGGAGGCACACTCCTCACTGATTCTGGCAGATGTATGGGGGATTCTCCAGGCTGGGTCTCATGGCCTTCTCCAGGAGATACTTCCGGAGACAAAGTGCTTGACCTTCTCTGCTACAGCTGGGAAAAGACTGACAAACACTGCACCTAGCTGCAATGAGAGCTTCTTCCACGCTGTAGAGACAGCACTGGTGGTCATCACTGACTGAGAAGGATTGCAGGCAGGAGGTGCAGTTTGAAATGCTGGGCATAGTCCGGTACTTGAATGAGGTATAGGAGGCATGGGGACTGGGGGAAGTTGCTGACCTCTATTCTGAAACTGTTAAAACTACAACTAAAACTGAAAACTATGTACAATTAAAGGTATTAGAGCTGCATCAGAGATGACACTGGAGGTTCCAACCCAGACCACGTAGCAGTGAGAAGGAACTGGAGATGCGGTCGGTCTGCCGTGACTTTTATCACCTCGAACAGAAGCACGCGGTGAATCAGGGTGCATGTGCACATCAACGGACACTTCTTTCAAATTCTCTGACTCTGGGTGCATGTGTAACCCACAGTGGAATACAACAGGGACCATCACTCGAAGAAGAACAAGTAGTTACTGAGTCAACAAAACTTGATGGGACATTTCAAACTTTGATAAATAAAGATAGATATCAACTAGTTTTTCTACATGTGTAAATAAGACAGAACTTTGGCTTCAACTGGTGAACTTTAATTAGCAAAGTGCCAGTGAAATGGCATTCTGGCTTTCAAGTTGGTGTAGCTTTGAAGCTCAGCTGTATGCTCAAGCACCTGACAAGCTTCTTCCAGTGTAATGTCAGGTCTGAACACTGCTGGAGGCATTTCTTCGTAAGGAAGACTATGCTTTTTAATATTCAAATCAGTGATTCTTGGACCAGTAGGATTTTAATCCCCACCAGGAGCTTAGTCAGGCTCCAGCATGCTACATTTTTTGTTCACTGGTCTCTGTAAGAGGGCGTGCCTGCCTGTAGTGCCCCCTGCTGGCCAAGTGTGGCTCTGTAGAGGCCTGTCTCAATTTCCCCTTCTTTCAGGACTCAAACTCCACACATGCTCTCTCATGGCTAACACCATCCTTGCTTCAGACTGGTTCAATAACAAACAGTTCACAGCAATTCTCAAAGTCCCACAATAAAGTCCATCACCACAACACGAAAGTTCATATTCAGCCAGTTCCGGAGGTCTTCTGTCCCAGTCTGCTCTCCACCAAGCAGCCACTCCCTGCGCTTCCTAGCTGGAGCTCGGCCTTCAATTCTTTTTCTCTGGATCAGAAAAATCAGCAGGCAACCCCTCTTTGGGCTCTCTCGGCCCTCCCCTGGTTACTCTGGGTCTCCTGTGGGAGCCTCCTGCTCTCCACTGCCTCTGTCACAGCTTCTTCCTCTAGCTGCACCCTTACCTCTCTGGGTTGAGACATCTGTGGGTAGCCTATCTTCTCCTGCTGCTGTCTCCCCCTATATAAGGCCCAGGTGCCATCCCTTAAACCCAGTTGGGCAGCAGGTAATCAGTCAGAGGTGCACTGGACCCTGCTCCCTCTTAAAGGTGCCAGTCACCCTGCAACAGTTTCACTTACACTAATTGTGTCCAAGTGCTGTCGGAAGGTCAGTTCTGCTTCCTTGCTAGGCAAGAACAGCTTTCCATGTCGGCTATTGGGTGGTAGAGTCGTGGGAACTGCAAAGAGCCCACCGTCTGCATCAGCTCCTCCAGAACTTGAGGGACCAGCCGCCAAGAGAGGTCTAGGGGGGTTCCTCAAACCTGGAAGATTTTAATCAACCATTTAACAAAATAAAAACTAATGGAATTATACTTAGTAGATGGAGAACAGAACTGGGAGTCAGGACTCCTAGATTATATTCCGGGCTCTGCTACTGACTGACTCACTGTGTGACCCTGGGCAACTCTCAATCTTTGTGCTTCAGTCTCCCCATCTATACAATGGGGATACACTTATCTACTTCACAGTGATATTGCGACTCATTCATTTGCTTTGAGATCTTTGGATGAAAAGAGTTAACCAAAAGCAACACATTAATACAGACACGGACATCTATGGATCTGATTCAGAGTTTCACATGACTATACTGAGAAGTGTATCTCTTATATTTGCTGAAACAGTTGAGGGCAGGTTTCCCAAATGGTAGATGTACATGACTGATACTTTCACTAGCGAAAGGAGTGTAATGCAAATATGGGCTCAGTGTCCAAGACTCTGTATTGTTTATTTCTGGTTCAGATTGATACTGTATTTGAAAAAACTAAAGTATGAAATATAGTTGAACAACAAGGTAAATACAAGGGTACAATCCCTATGTAAGTTTCTGATTACAGTAAATTGAGAGACCATTGCTCAGTTCACTAGAAACACCCCGCCACTATTCCCAGAGGTACGAGGCAATAGATTTTTGCATAATTAAATACGGTTATGATGGTTTAGTGATAATTTCATTTTTTGAAAATTAAATGTAAATGGAAAATATCTTGGTTTGGACAACAATGCAATGTCACACTCCCAGCAGCCAATCAACTTTGAAAACACACTGGCTGAAATCCAATATTGCTAATATGCTATGATGACAACTGAAAAGTGTGTGAAATTTACATTGTTCATATAAAATTGGGTCTCTATATAACAGTTTATTATAATGCATAATACTTTACTTAAAGAGTGCTTTGAAGAACATTAATCCTGACTTACCTAGTTTGCAGTGGATATGTTTTCCCCATTTTACAGATGCGGACACTCAGATACATATGAGATAAAAGCGTAGGGCCATATTTCAAATGAGCTCAGCACCAGGAGCTCCAGCCCTTTTGAAACCATAACTACAATCATGGATGCTGAACTCTCCTGAGAAATCTATTTCAAGATTTTGAAGAGCTACTGAGCAACACAATTCTCATTGACTTCAATGAGACAGTTTAAAAAAAAAAAAATTCATAGTAATTTGGTTAAGGCCACACAAGTCAGTGGCAGTGGCCAGGTTCAGTTAACTAGGCCACACCATCCTTTCTAAAAGTCACCTAGAGGTTTTGGTTACAAACCAGGAGAGCAAAGCCCATATGGTTTGTGATGCTACTAGTTACCAATTTTTATTTGGTAAAAAGAGTTAAACAAAATTGACAGCAGAAGGTATTTTCTTATATAAAGCAGTAAAAAGGAGTATCAAATGTACAAAGTAAGACATCATTCAGTGGATGCAATATAGTTTATGGGATCAAATTTAATTTTGTTTAAACTTTCTAGTTCACACTGTATCTCTCCTACTGCTCTGCTTGTTTTTCCCCAACAGTGTACAATCCCCTTTTTCCTCATCCTGGCCTCCTTTGCTGCTGCTCTGAAGCTGCCTGTTAGTCAAGGCTTTCAATTCCCCTTAGACTTAGAGTGTGCACAAGCTGGCTTTCAAATTGTTACTTTCTGTTGGAAAAGCAAACTCAATTTAGCTATAAGAATAAGTTAGAAGTCAGAAAGGCTCAGGATAAAAAGCACTGAGAAACCACAGCTAGAAGGTTCATTTCTAAAAACCTGACAATTTATTTTCTGGCAGCCATTATACTGCAGACTTTTAATAGCACTTTATGCATGGATGAGATGAGTTTGTTACTGTGTACTAACAAAGTTATGATTCAGACCACTGAAAATACATCTTAGATTTACTATCTGGGAGTAATTTCCAAATTCAGCACCCAGATCAATGCTACTAAGAACCGTACTGATAGTGTAAAAAAAACTACTTACATTCAAGTTATGATTTTACATTATTTTCACCTTAGTGAGTAAAATCCTGTAACATAAGAGTGGCACTATATCTCTATATGTTGTGATTAGCAGGTGTGAATGATGCAGGCTAATGTATAAATAGTAAGAGATAATTGTATGTGAACATGAAGCTATATAGAAGCAGGCACCTTTTTTTTTATTTCTAAGGGACAGATATACAATATAATATCTCAATTAGAGCTGTGTAAATACTGGATTTTCTGTTTCACTGGCAGGAACATCATATCAGATTTTGGTGGGGGGAGCAACTTTAACCATGATTCCAGGGGCTACTTAAGCACCTGAAAACTTACTTTGCAGATGATAGGTATAGTGCTCCTGTCAGCTAATTTCTAAGTTAACTCCTATATAAAGAAAGAAAATTAAATGAATATCTGACATCTTGTGGCTAGTCACTTAAGGGACACTGTTTAACATTGGAATAGATCATTTCACTTTTGGAAACATCCTACTAGGAGAAGGCCTGGTGATTTTATACTGCAGCTGCATGGAGCTCTAGGGGTGTTACCAAAGGCCCGGTCTATACTAGAGGGGGGGAAAATCGATCTAAGTTACGCAACTTCAGCTATGTGAATAACGTAGCTGGAGTTGACGTACTTAGATCTACTCACTGCGGTGTCTTCACTGCAGTGAGTCGACCGCTGCCGCTCCCCCGTCGACTCTGCCTGCGCCTCTCGCAGCAGCGGAGTACAGGAGTTGACAGGAGAGCATTCAGGGGTCCATTTATCGCGTCTAGTCTAGACGCAATAAATCAACCCCTGCTGGATCGATCACTGCCCGCCGATCTGGCAGATAGCATAGACATACCCCAACTACAAATAAAAATAGGCTAGAAACTGACTATAAACAGGAGTGAAACTGACACTTATGTCACTTTCACTTTGGTTTAAAGGCTCCTTATTTTTCAGAAGGCTCTTAAAACAACACTACAGTGATTGAGTTGCAGTTCTCACAGGAAAATATTTAAAGTCGAACGCCAAGAGAATTCCACATTTTAAATTTGAGGAAAAAAATTGAGCCTTATTATTTAGAGTTTGTGTGTGTGCATATATAATTTTTTTTTTAAAGTACCTCTGTGTTTGGAAGCTGTGCCTCAGTTCCCATTACTGTAACATGGGAAGAATAATACTTGCCTGTCTGCCGTATCGAATTATAAGGGAGATAATTATAGAGATCTGTGGGACTGGAACTAGGCCTTCCTAATGGTTTGCATGGTGCTTAGCACAATGGGGGACTCCTACTGATTAAGGTCTTTGGGCACTATTGTAACATTAGTCAGCTGTTGAGATGCCTTCTGGTGGTAGCTGAAGGAGACTTATCTGGCGAGCGGGATGTCGGTGGAGGACAGGTCAATCTCTGTGTTGGCCAGCAGTGCAGCCTTCATCCCCCACGAGCTCAGCACTGCTGGCAGAATTTGCAGCACAGCACAGACACACACTTGTCCTTGAAGCTGCAACTGCCAGTGGTCAAGATGGCTGTGGACCAGAAGGGTCTGTCCGCAGTCTCCTCCCAGGGAGAGGTGAGGGGGCTCCCTGCTACTCTGAGAGCAAACTGACCCCCACCCTTCTTCAGCTCCCCCTCCCTCAGGATCCTTGCCCCAGAGACCGTTTCCCCTCAGCTGCTCCTCCCACACTCACGGCTCGCCCCCTCCCTCAGGGTGTAGTCCTATGCCCTCACCTCTCCTTTCCCCCTGGTGATTGACTCCCCTTTCCCACCCCACTGCCCCCATTTCTCTTTTCACTAACAAAAAGGTTTTTTACAGTTAGACCTAAAAAATTACTGGGCTCTTTCCTGAAAATTAAAATATACTCGTCTGCAAACAAATGCAATGAAGATTTAAACTAAGGTGAAACTGCTACATATTACTCTATAATGAGAAACACACAGAGCCTTAAGTACCGTGTTCTTTAGCATTAATTAAATTGCTCATTAAGGTACTGGCATTACAATAATGATATAAAAATGCTGATATAAAAAAGCTTGACACCTTCATGGTCTATTCTGCAAGCCATAAAATGTGTGATGACAAAAGCAACTAGACTGAGAACATTGAAATTCTCTGTCCACACAGTTGCACCTGACAACTGACTAACTATCCCCTCTAGTGGAATAAGAAGGCAATTCATGCTCATTCAGTATTCCAACTTGGTAGAATGACACAGGAATGTCTCATTTTAAATGTTATTTTACCTGATCTTTAACTAGGGTGACCAGACGTATCGATTTTATCGGGACTGTCCCAATATTGCCTTGTTTGTCCAGCGTCCTGAACGATGTGCGGTCCGGACACTGGACAAACAAGGAAATGCTCTGGAGCCCAGAACTGCTCGCGCCCCCCCCCGCCCCGACTCCGTCCCCTCCTCCCCCGATTGGCTCCCTCCCCGAATCCCCGCTTCTTCCCCAGGCTCACCATTCCTCCTCCCTCCAGCGCTTGTGGAGGGAGACCCGGAGATGCAGGGGAAGCGCGGGGCCAGGGTGAGTGAGTCCGGCCTGGCCCCGAGCAGGCAGGACTCAGTCGGGCGGTAGGGAGAGGAGGGGGATGGCCCGCGGGGCCAGGCAGCAGCTGTTCTCCCCCCGGGGCAGCGGGACTCGGGAGCAGCCGCTGCTGCAGCTCCCACTGCCGCGGGGGGAGGAAGCGGCCGATGGCCAAGCTCGGCGGCTGCGGCTCTGGCCTGGGCGCCAGACATAATCTTAGCCTTAATTATGAGAAGGGTTTCCTCTGAAGGATGGAACACTGGGGTAGTGACTTAGTGGACCAATGGTATGATCCACTGAAGTCATTCCCATGGGTGCTCACCTGAGGAGCTGGAACTAATATTGGGAGAAAAGGTCTTGTTGCGAAGAGCAGATTGGTTTCGTGCACAGCCTGGACTCCTGGTGCTGACGGCAATCACCTTTCCAGGAGGAGTCAGTGATTGCTCTTCTTGAGTAGGTTTTATAGGGGATGTGGCGACAGAGTTCACCTCAGGGGTCTGAAAAACCAAGCACAATTGTTCAAAATGCTGCCAGAATATCACAATAAATTTAACAAATGCCCTCCCAGGAAACTTAAAAAGTCACTAAGAACTTATCCATTATAGTGGGACTGATCAGCATCTTCCTGCATTTGGTTAATGCATACCATATGTGTAGGGTTACCATATTTCCCTATGCTGAATACGGGACACTGGTAAAATTAGCCCGTTAAAAAGAAATACTACATACAGTAACTTCTCACGTAAAGTCGTCCTGGTTAACATTGTTTCCTTATTAGGCTGCTGATCCATTAGAGAACATACTTGTTTAAAGTCGCACAATGTTCCATTACAAGGTTGTTTGGCTCGCCCCGCTATGCTCACCCGGCGAGCGAGCAAGGCTCCAACCCCGCTCCCTGGTAGGAATGCTGGGCAGGCAGAATGGGGCAAGCTCCCATGCCCTGACCCCACTCCCTGGCTGGAACACCGGGCGGGCAGAGTGGGGCAAGCCCACATGCCCCAACTTTGCTATGCCCCTGCCTCAACCACGCTTTACAATCATCACTGGTGAGTATTAAAATGTTTGTTTAAAATTATTTAAAAACTTTACTGTATATGTATATAATGACTTTTGTCTGGTGAAAATTTTTTCCCTGGAACTTAACCTCCCCTATTTACATTAATTCTTATGGGGAAATTGGATTCGCTTAACATCGTTTTGCTTAAAGTAGCATTTTTCAGGAACATAACTACAACATTAAGTGAGGAGTTACTGCAGTTGGATTCTTTTTATTTACCTTATCTTTAAAGCTTTAGGGTTCACACCAGGAGGAGTGATACATATACCCCTACCCCCCCACAAACACATGGGGAGAAGTAACACACACACACACACACACACACTCACTCCTCTACAACTCTCTTATATGGGGGGGGGGGGGAAAATGACCAACCCAATCTTCCCTGCCCGGCATTCTCCGCCCTCCATGCCTGGCTGGGCCCCAGGATGGACCCGCCTCTCCTGGTACCGCGTCTTCCAAGGCAACACACCGCGGGGGGGGGGCAGTCACATGGCCCCCCTCCCCAGATTTCTGCCAGGGTTCACATCAGAATGTGGCGGGCAGCTAGGGTGACCAGATGTCCCGATTTTATAGGGACAGTCCCAATTTTTGGGTCTTTTTCTTATATAGGCTCCTATTACACCCCACCCCGTCCCGATTTTTCACATTTGCTATCTGGTCACCCTACCAGCAGCAACCTTTCAGCACTGTGTGGGAGGGAAGGGATGGGAGTTGCTTCCAGTTGTGGGGGGAGGGGGGCAAGGGAAGGGTTGACTTAGCCCATGTCTTTGCAGAGCTCATCTCTTCTCCTTCCCCCCCAGCCGCTGGAAGTAGCTTATCCCTTATTGCCTACAAAGTGTTGAAAGGCAGCTAACACCTCCAGGCTGCTGCTGGCCGCAGACATAACCCAGCTGCCTCCTGTCACTCGGCTACAGCGCGGGCAGGAAGGGGTTAAGCCCTAAGGATGCATTGTGCACCAGGGCCCAGAGAACCTGATTGCAGGGGCTTCAGCGAACCCAGCTCAGCAGAGGAGGGTACCTAGGGGATGGAGCAGCCCCACACTCCCTGGGGGTAGGACCCAAGGGGGTGGGCAGGCGAAGAGGGTGCTAAGCCCCTGCCTGGGGGGCTGCTGTGGAGCCTTCAGGGTCAGGGCACAAACAGGCTGGAAATTGCTTCCCACCACAACCACTTCAGAGCTTAGCTGACAAGCAGAGAGGCTTCCCCGTGCCAGCACTCTGTGGGGCTTTGGCACATGCAGGGTTCGGCTCCTCCTGGCCAGTGCCCCAGGCTGGAGGGTCTTGGGCTTTCCCGGGGCACCAACTCAGCCAGAGGCAGTGGGGGAAGGAAGGAGCCTGCCAGCCAGGCTGTTGGTGAGCTGAGCACTCCGACCAGGGGCTGGTTCTCCGTGCAGTGCTGGGAGTGGGACGCACTCCGCCTGAGACAATATGGAGGACAAGTGGGGCTGGGAAAGGGGTGTGAAGGGGCACAGCAGGGAGAGGATAGCGAGAAGGGGAGTACGTAAAGGGACGGGGGGTGGGCAACAGAGGTGATACGTAGCTGGCCACCGCCTGGTGCCTGCCTCCACTTACCAGTCACCGCAGCTCGCAGTGCGCAGCCAGTGCCGGCTGGAAACAGGACGGGGGGTGGGGCCCTGCTGGCCAAGAGACGGCATGCAGCAGGGGGCTGTGCTGACGGAGCAGCAGGGGGAGCTGCTGGCCCCGTGCACTGTAGTTTCGCCACCAGCCTTGCACACCCACCCCCATCCTCGACAACTGGACCCTCCCACTCACCGCTGGTGGGTGGGCAGCTGGCGAGAAGAGATCCAGCCAGCAGCAGGACCCGCCGTTACTGACGGGGGGAGAGAGAAAATACAGGACATTTTGCCGATTTTTAAGAAAAAGTCAGGACACCTGCAGGAGGGCTTAAATATGGGACTATCCCTTTAAAAACGGGACATCTGGTCACCCTACATATGTGAAACTTATTTTGTTAGAATCAAGCTGGCACTTAATAGGCCTCATCATAGTGCCAGTGGTTTGGGATCTTATCAGACAAAGCCATAACGGAGGGAGGATAAAGACTTTCTTTAAGCTACAAAAAGGTCTGCTTTTAGGTTCAGTAGCAAAACTGACAACTTAACTATCACATACTCAGTAACCATCCAGTCAGGGCCAGCTCCAGGCACCAGCGAAGGAAGCAGGTGCTTGGGGTAGCCAATGGAAAGGGGCGGCATGTCCGGGTCTTCGGCAGCAATGCAGCGGCAGGTCCCTCAGTCCCTCTCTTCCTCTTTGAGCTGCCGCCGAAGTGCTGCTGAATTGCCGCCGATTTTTTTTTTTTCCTCTTTTCGCTTGGGGCAGCAAAAAAGCTGGAGCCGGCCCTGCATCCAGTTGCTTTCTTTTGTTGCAAAGATATGTGGACAACAGTCTGGTTGTAAAATGAGCTATTCTGACTTGGCATCAAAGGTGATCTGTTCTGAAATGCTGCCATTTTCCTATTTCAGATTATATCATAGCAATTAAAGTCAGAGCCACATGGTGAGGCTCTTTGCTAATGTTCTAGACATATACAGTTAATTTCACTACAAAAGTTGTTTATGATGTTTTCTAACAAAGGCTGTCTTTTAAAAGAATCCGTATGTAACCACAGGCATAAAATTACCTCCCACACTTAATTGCAATGCAATTTGCTACAGTTTGTTTTATGCTGATAATCTTCATTTAAAGAAAAGAATCACAGCACACTTAGCCATTCTGGCTTGGTTAGAATCATAGAATAATATCAGGGTTGGAAGGGACCTCAGGAGGTCATCTAGTCCAACCCCCTGCTCAAAGCAGGACCAATCCCCAAACGGATCAGATTTTTGCCCCAGATCCCTACATGGCTCCCTCAAGGACTGAACTCACAACCCTGGATTTAGCAGGCCAATGCTCAAAACACTGAGCTATCCCTCCCCCCTGGGTTACATACAGTCTTGTGAAAAGAGTCAATCAATGCATCTTTTGTTAAAGCAGATTTTTATCTTTCACCTCAACAGCATGGATTATCCAGACAAGCAATGCTGAATTACAGTCTGAATAAGTGATGGCTCAGCTGCCCCTGTAATTCACAACTTCTATCCTGCTATTAAGAAGGTATTTCCAGGGCAGACCTGGAGACATTGCAGCAAGAGAGTAACCTCTGATCACATGCTTCATGTGGCAGCAAAGATCAGGCACAGCTGACAAAACTGATCTCCAGTGGAACTCGAGTGCCTCCTGGCAGAAGTATTTTACCTTCCCTATAGCCATCTGAGCTGCAGTAGGTTTAAAAGAATAAAACTGCAGGAGGTTTCCAGATCTATAATTGTTGCAATTAAAAAGTAAACATTTCCTCCCAGAATGCCTGTCATCTCCCCACAATATCACAATACAATCGATATAAGAATGTTTACTTTTTACTGTCAGCCACTGTCATATAAACTGGCTCTGGTCATATAAAGAAATGGGTGCACTTACCTTTTAAGTTTTATTATCTGAAAGGACTGTTAATTTTTCCAGGATATTTCATTACCCTGATGAATGAAGCTGAAATGTCAGGAATGTACTTCCAAGTTAATGCCTTCACTGGGCTTTTTATTAATTAATTAATTAATTATTATTAAAGATATTGTTCCTCTTCCTACTTTGCATCTACTCACATTTATAATGAATGTGGTTTTCCTGGATGTTACATATGTCTCCAGGTGTGAAGCTTTCTATCACTAACTGCTAGGAGAAGAAAGATCAGCACAGATCTGTACGATGCCTGACCACAAGGCAAACCAGAATGAAAGGTGAAACACCTCTACCCCGATATAACGCTGTCCTCGGGAGCCAAAAAAAATCTTACTGCGTTATAGGTGAAACCGCGTTATATCGAACTTGCTTTGATCCACTGGAGTGCGCAGCCCCGCCCCCCGGAGTACTGCTTTACTGCGTTATATTTGAATTCGTGTTATACTGGGTTGTGTTATATCGGGGTAGAGCTGTAGTATAGATCTAAAGCCACAATTCCACCAGGAATAAGTGTTCGGGGAGGAGCTGCTCAGGAATGCAATCAGCAAAAACACTACTATCTAATGAGCTTTGGCTGATAGGATCATGTCTGCTCCTTGGTGGAGAGGACTTGGGACTCTGCTCCTCAGGTTTAGACATTAGAATCAGAAGAGAGTTCTGGAAAAGAACCAAGTCTCCACCAGCAAGCAAAGATCAAAAAACTACAAATTTTCCAGCACAAATGATTAATGTGCAATTTAATTTGAAATAACTATGTAAATATCACCTTTAACTCAAGTTTATTCAGTCATACCTGTTATATTCTAATTCCTTCCAGCTCATCAACAGAATCATTTATTAAGCTCCAATCAGCTACACCATGGAAAACAACAGGCTGAATGGGCATCAGAGGGCAGAATTTGCCCTGTAAAATCCTTAATATTGGTGGATGATGTGCAAGGAAGGAAGGAAGGAACACAGTCTGACTCAAATCCCATGTTAGGTCCACAGGGCTGGCAGTTAGGAAAAATATTTTTTACGTGTAAACTGAGCACATTTATTCTGGAGTCACTAAGATACAAACACACATTGCCACTTCTAGGGAATCACTTTCAGAACTCACTCCTAGACCAGTTGTTTTTATATATCACCTTGGAGTCAGAAACATTTATCATGTTTTACCACTGCAGCAGAATGGAGAACCTGAGTGAGAAATCAATTCATTTTCATGCCAATACTTTAAAAAGTCAAATTAACAATAGTAATCAAGGGTTTATAGTCCCTCCTAATGGATTAACCCTAAATAGCCTAGCATGCTGCTAATCTCATGACTTGGCTGCTACAGCAGCCATGTTAAATATTCATCATAACTAAGGCTATGATTTGGTCATGGAATCCGTGACTTCCGCAGACCTGTGACTTTAGCCCACAGCTGCTGGGAGCTCCAGGGTATCCCCACCTCCTATGGTGGCCTGGAGCTTCAGGGTACACCTGCCGCCACCGGCGGGGGGTGGGGGGAGGAAAAATCACCCGGCAGCTCCCCATTGGCTGGGAGTTTTGGGGTACCCCAGCCGCCGAGGGCAGTGGGGGGGAATCCCCCGGCAACCGCCCAGCCTCCGCAAACAGTGGTGAGATCCCCCGCAGCCACTGGGCAGGGGCCACAGCTCTCAGTCATAGCAGGGCAGGGTACTGGACCCTCCTCCCTGTTTTGTCACGGACATTTTTAGTAAGCGTCAGGTAGAGGTCATGGCTTCCATGAATTTTTGTTAATTGCCCGTGACGTGTGACTTTTACTAAAATCGTAGCCTTAATCATAACAGCTATTGAAGCTGAAGACACATGGAATATTCTGTTAAAAGTTAAAATGGGATAAAAAAATAGTAGCTGCAGCATATAGTGGAAGGCGTCTAACTCTGCTGCAAGCTGCCTGGGATGGTTTTCAGATAGAAATCTCTAAGGTCTCCATAGGGCTTACCATGGAAACAACAGGAACAAACAATTGTCTCCAAAAATCAAGTGTCATGCACAGGTCATCAGTGCTAGTTACTTACTGGTTTGGGGTTGACTTCGGTGGAAATGAGTTTTAAGAGGCAGTTGAGGAGTCTTTGTTTGTGAAAGATGGAAGATGTGGGGACAGCACTGGGTTCGGATGTTTCCTCCCTGGAATCCTGGGTTTCTGGCCCTAACACAGCTCGCCAGTCATATTCCAGCTGCAGCTTGTTTGGCTTGCCCATCATGAGGTAAACCTCAGCCAACGTAAGGCTCTCAGAGTTTCGTAGACTCCATCCCTCCTCTCTGACCTGTTGAGCAAGTCGGCTCGGGTCATCCTTCAGAGGCTTTGCAGAAGGTTGTCCCGGAGGTGAATGCAGAAATGAAGAGCTCAGCTTCTCTTGAGTCTCCTCCACTACTGCATCTTGTAAAACCTTAGTAAAAGCATCAGGCTGTGGTCCCTGGCTGTGGCTAGCTTGAGTTTCAGATCTGGATAGGCCACTGCCAGACAATGCTATCCTACCTCTTGCCATCTGTGCAGAACAGGGGTCAGCTGCCTCTGTACTCTCAGCTGGAAGAGCCACAGGAGAGGCACTCCCCGCTGAGGGACCAGGATCTTTCCCTTGCAGTTTGTCTGTGCAAAAACATTTCTCTGGGACAATCAGATCTTGACAGGACTTCATATACCGAGGGAATGGATCAAGCAGAGAGAGTTCCTCCAGGTCAGGGATCTTGCTGCAAACACAAGCTGTATTGCATGATGGTAGCTTGGTTGCTTGGTCACTGGCCAGGGCCTCCTCGCCCTCGGTGCAGAAAACCACAGGGATTGGCTTCTCCAGACTCCCTCCCGGGTCCTGAAGTCCAGAAGGTGGTTTTTCGAGAGAGTTTGTGATGCTGAGATCAGGGGGGCCTTCTGTCAGGCCACTCTCTGGGAAGACATCTCCAGGGCTTGCAGAGACTTCGGCTATGGGCTGAGAGGTTCTGCCTGGCTCTATAGTGCTCTCTGTCCTTCCGCCACTCTTACCCTCTGATCCCCGAGGGTACTTCAGCTGCCCTCTGGCTGTCCCCTGACCACTCTGTATGCCTAGGATTTGAGCAGGAGGCAATAAGTGAGAGTCCTTTGTGTTCTGTTTGCATTTGCCGGTTTCCTGCCAATGCACTGTGCAGAAAGCCTTGGAGTGGACTACTCTGGCCACCTCAGGGAGAGGAGTGAGAGTACAGTTCTCTCCTGGGAAGAGATGAAGCATCACTTTCTCCTCTGAGAGGTTGCCTCTTGCTTCTGAATCTCTGGAGTCCTGAAGCTGCCGTTCCTCTAGTGTTTGACGCTAAATATACTTTGTCAAAGATTACAACCATCTTACATTATGCAGATTAGCTGCAGCATCAGCCACAGATACCCCTAAAAAGAACATCTGGCCGCCCAATTTGTAGTTTAAGAAATTAATAAGCAGCTCTCCATTCAGGATAGATGTGTATGTTCTGTAATTAGGAATTATGCCTTTACATGTTGAGAAGGGAATATACCCAAGACCACAATTTTTCCATGAACAGCAAGCTGATCCTACATTCTAGAACAAGGTCATTGGTCTCAGCTTCACTTACAGATTTATAGTTTAAGGTCAGCAGGAACAATTCTGATTATTTAGTCTGACCTTGATAACACAGACTATAGGACTTACCTGAATTAATTCCTGTTTGAATTAGAGTACGTCTTGTAGAAAAACAGCCAACCTTGATTTAAAAATTGCCGGCGATTGAGAACCCATTGGATCTTGTTATATCCTTGTCCGCTAGACTGAAGAGCCCTCTACTGTCAAATTTCTGTTCTTCACGTAGGTAGGTACAGACTGATCAAATCACCCCTTAACCTTCTCTTTGATAAGCTAAATATATTGGGCTCCTTAACTCTATCACTATAAGGCATGTTTTGACAATTCTTTAATCATTCTTGTGGCTCTTCTCTGAACCCTCCCCAATTTACCAACACTCCTGTGCAGGAGACTAGAAATTCCATGGCAACTTTGTTTAAATTAAAAAGGGAAGTTTTCACTGATTTTGGTATAAAAATGGACTACAAAGTCAGTACAGTAGCCCCATGTTATATATTTTCACCTTGGTATCAGTCTCCACATGTAAGGTGCCACTCTGCAGCTGCTGCAAGGCTTACAAGTTAAAGGCTTACAAGTTGAAGAAAAAATAAACTAACAGAAGCGTGAAAGAGCTAGGAAGAAGAGAATAGTTGGCATCTTACAAGTGTTTTTACTAAATTACAAAGATTAAAGTTTAGAGGTAGGGATATTAAAAAATACATCTTTGTAACAAGGGCTGGGGCTTTGTGATGGGTTAACAAGGGCCTGAGAGGTTAACTGGTGTCACCTGTGAGAGGGAGAGCCAGGGTTAGTTAAGAGTGAAGCTCAACTGGGAAAGGCTGGGATTGCAATATAAAGGTAGGAGGCTGAAAGCAGAAGGGAGGAGCAGAGAAAGAGTTGCAGTCACACCCTGGGAAGTCAACAGAGACAAAGGAAGAAGTCCAGGAAGAGGGTAAGCCCTGAGATCCTGGTGCAAGGAGTCTGGCAAGAGGCTATGAGGAGGTGAAGTAGCCACAGGGAGTACAGTAGGCACCCATGGTAAATCCAGAAAAAGGCAAGAAAGAGAGGCTGTGTAGGAAACTCCTCAGGAAACAGCAACAGGGATTGGTGCTGAGCAGACCTGGACTGCTGGTTATAAGGTCCCTACGCCAGAACATTGTAGTGGGTAGGCTTGGATTTCCCTGACACCACTGGTATAGTGGCACTGAGCCCCAAGCTGGAGTTGAACACTGTCCAGAGAAGGCATTTGGACAGTGGTCCTGTTAGACTTTGTCACCTCAGAAAGGGTGGTCTAAATGGGGACATACCTGGACAGCCAACTTACTAGAAAAGGGCCATCCAATGCCCTGAGAGCTACTTTCCCAGAGCTAGACATGAGGTGGCGCACTAGCAGTGACCGAGAACCTTGTTACAAGGACTGTACAAGAGAAAGTTATTCACCTTGTGCAATAACAATGGTTCTTCAACGTGTAGCTCCCTATGGGTGCTCCACTGTAGGCATACCTGCGCCCCTAATTGGAGATTTTAGGTAGCAGTGTCAGTTGGCCTGCACATGCACTCTCCCTCCCTCGTTATCGGCCTCAAGACTATCTAGTGCTGCACGGGCAAATTGCCCCCAGTTCCTTCTCTACCACAGAATGCCACATTGAAAACTCTGAAGTAGAGGAGAGGATGACGGGTTATGGAGCACCCATAGAGACACACATCTCAAAGAACCATTGCTGCTGCACAAGGTGAGTAACTTCCTCCTCTTCTTCTTCTTCTTCAATTAGTGTCCCTATGAGCTAAGTTCCCTCTAAGCTGTGCGGACAGTCAGCCGCCCAGCAAGCTATCAAGTGCTGTGCACGGCAGGTGTCCCTCCGCCCACTGCTGTGTTGCTTCTGCCCTTTGCCCTGGAGCTGCTCCCCGAAGCCTCCTACTTGCTATGCAGAGTGGGGTGGGAAGGGGGGTGCTGATGGCAGGGTGTGCCCCTCCCCCCACCTCTGTACCCAATCTCTGCAGAGCCGGGATAGGGAGGGGAACGCGACAGGGCTCAGGAGTGGGATGGAGGGAGCTTGCTGGTGGCTGCTGCTGTGTCTGCTTTGAGTGCAGATCTACTTAAAAGGGCAACGTACAGCAGCAAATCATAGGGCTGAAAAGAAACAGCGCTCAGGGTTTTAGTGAGGCTCCATTTTGCCATCATCTGAAATTCTGCACTTTAATTAAAGTAATCCCTGAGTTTCTATATTTTCCATTTTGAATACAGTCATAACACTGTAAATTGATGTGTAAACACTAGAATGACAGTAACCTCCACAGAGCTGCCTCTGGTGGAGAGAGAGGGGCTAGCTCCTCTGTAGAGTAAGGAAAAAAGGGCCCCTTTCAGTGAAGAATGCAGTCTGGGAAATGTGTTCTCCCACCCTGGAGCCATGTTGCATGGGACTGGGGCAATGGCCGGACTTCTCTATCGGCATGAAGCTCCATGTCAGAGCTGTCAGCCAGGACTCCACACTTCGTGTGTACGGATACTTTAAGTTTTAGTCCCCTGACTAAGACTGGGAGGAAGCCACTCCACTTCTGCCAGAACTCAAGGACATACTGTATATATACACATACTTCTTCCTGAATATCATCCTCCTGTGCCAGTGCATACACACTGGGACTTTAAGGAAAGCCACCATATAGCATGAGAGTTAGCAATATTGATTACCTGAAGGATGACCCAGAGCAGCTGCAGTCCACTGGGGAGTCCTGCCAGGCTGTGAACGTACTTAGAGGAAAAACGCATGTCTGTCTTGCACACACGCATGCGCGCACACACACACAGTATCTGTGTCTCACATACACACACACTTTCACACTCACCTCTTCACATACTTTTATTATTGTTGGTGGTGTTACTTCTTGATACTTCCTGCAATGCACATATATTCTCTGTAATTCTAGGCTTTCAAAGTGCTGTTATTTGAGTTTTTTGGCTGGTCTATGTATTTCATAATTTTTATTTCTCTCTTACGCTTAAATTTAATTCTTTGAGTAGTGAGTTCTAAAATGCCTAACCTGCCCTGGCTGAAGTAATTACCCCTGTGGTAACTTTTTAAAAATATATATTATATCTAGGTTTTGTTTCTACTGGTGGCGCACATCTGCACATTACCTCAATAATTTGGTGCACATAACAAAATTCATTCCACACATGGATGGAAAAAATTAGAGGGAACATTGCCTATGGATGCTCCACTGTAGATGACTTCACAGCAGTATCCCCCCGGGGGGCTGGATTTCAGAGTGGAGTCTGTTATGGCAGAGAGTATGCTGGAGCCAAAGATGGAATGGGAGGCTGAGGCTCTCATGAAACATTATGCAATCACGGAAGTGTGGGCAGAGGCCCAAGTTGCTGCTCTGCAAATTTCCAAGACAGGGACATCTTTAAGGAATGTGACCGAGGTAGAGATTGACCTCTTGAAGTGCATACAGACTAGAGAAGGAGGCAACAGGTTGCGCCCCTGATGCCAGTGATTAATATATTAATGGTGCACTTTTATGGGATGTGCGATTCTTCCAGACACTTTAAACAGTAAGAGTGCCCATATGTTACTAAGATTGCTTCCTTGCAGGAGAGAAACCTCTTGAAACTGGGGGAGCCAGGCATGCCCCCAGGGGGGTGGGTTTATCACCCTGCAAAAGTGAGGAATGCAGAAGAAAGTTGGTCCCTCTTCTGCCCCTCTCCCCCCTTTTTTAAAAAAAACGGAGAGGACAGAAAGTCTAAACGACTAAACGCCCTGGGAGGGGGGAATCCCCTGAGAAAAGGCAGGAAACATGAAATAAACGTGGGGTTTTTTTTTAATCTCAATGGGGTAAACGGAAACTGTAGCTATTAAGGGAAACAAAAGGACTAAAACTACTACTACTTATGCTAATGACACAGAGAAAGAAGAGACAACTGCTCGCTCTGTTTGAGACCAAAGGCGGTCGAGAAGGAACTGGGGGTGATTTGCCTGCGCAGTGCTAGACAGATTTGAGGCAGACCACGAGGGAGAAAGAACGCATGTGCGGGCTGAACAGACACTGCTACAATCTCTGATTAGGGGCTCAGACACACCTACAGTGGAGCACCCATAGGGACACTACTCGAAAAAGAATATACAGATATGCCACAGGTGGCAGCAGTACAAGCTTCCAGCCAACTGTCCAACTAACAGTCTCACAAGACCATGATTAAGGAATATCTCTAAGAGCAAGGTGCTAGATCAGTCCTCCTTGGCCTCTTCGCTGAGGCAGCCAACCAAAGGGCCAATCATCATGACAGATTTTGTAATGTGAACATCCATCTATGAGCAATTGGACTGAGCCCACTGGGGGGGGGGAAAAAAAAAAAATGGTGAGCTTCATTTAAAATCAAATATATTTTTCCTGGGAATTCAGGATAGAAGAGCTGAAGGAAAGGGAGAATGCTTCTAGATTCCCTGCTAGAGATTTCTTCACTTCACCGGCTCTGAGATATTGGCATTTTACCTTTAGTAAACAGGGGACTGGTGTTCCTTTAATGGAGATTTGTGAGAGAGAGAAAACAGTGAGGTTAGAATAGCGAGAGAATTGCCCTGAACATGGTACACAAAGCAGACTAACAGTTTTGCTCTAAACAGAAAAAGGATACAATGCGCACTTCATGGAGAGCCCACTTCTGTTTCAGGAACTCAATGAGGCTGGAGACCTTCCGATGTAACTCCACTATCATCCTGCACAGGAAATAAACAATGCAAGAGAACTGAGAACTCAGTCAGCAGAAACTCAAAGCACAATCTGCTCCCAAAACAGAATCAAGGAGAGAAATTGGACTAGCACAGTGTAAACTAGGAGCAGAGACTGCAGCAATGTACACACTATGCAGAGTTATCCATGCACCTACCCCTGACTTACTATAACCCCCATGAGAAACAGGAGGCAGTTATAATGCACAACACTAACATGTAGGTAAATCATGATTTGTGAGTAAACTCAAAATTCTCTGAGATAGATATATTGCAGAGGTGACTTGGGCTCTCAGTTTCTCCTGGAGGAAAGAGAAGAGGAGGGGAACGTTAGCTATGACTCTTAGCAAGTAGAACACGAAACTACAATACCAAGGGTGATAAGGAGGATAAAATTGGGATAAAAATTTTTGTTTTCTTCCCTTGTCCTCAAAATGTCTGGCCTCTATCACATGGTAGGAGGATAAATCCTACCCTAAAATACTAACTCTCCCCTCCCCCGCCCCCAGCACCACCACCTTATGGCATTTGGTTATTATTTCTGAATTCTTCATTGAGGAATGAAAGTTACACTGACCAAGGTCCAGGACTTGTTATACTCAGTCCTGGACTAGTGCTAAGAAAGTGCTGGACAGCGTTAGAGTGATATCATGAACTCCCAAAAGAATGTTGTATATCCCTGGAAATCTAGAAATCTTTGCTTTTCATCAGTATGTAGCAATTGCCATGTCCAGAATCACAGAAACCTATCATTTCAACTGCTATTTTGCTTCTTTATCCTCCCTCTCAACACACTAAATCCAATACATCTTAACTAGAGCTAGTGCCACAAGCCAGTGATCCACCTGGATCCCCTCAACACTTATTAATGCTTTGTGTCATCTATGCTATCTAACTTCAGTAGTTCAGGAGAGAAGCTGGTAAAGTCATATGTGAACCAAGATAAGGGGATTTAAAGCAGAATGGTAATCAGAATGATATTTTAAAGTCTGATATCACATGACCCACTAGAGAGGTGGTTCTCAACCAAGGGTATGTATACCCCTGGGGGTACGCAGAAGTCTTCCAGGGGGTACATCAACTCATCTAGATATTTGTCTAATTTTACAACAGGCTACATAAAAAGCACTAGCAAAGTCAGTACAAACTAAAATTTCATACAGACAAAATGAGAAAGTAAGCAATTTTTCAATAATAGTGTGTTGTGACACTTGTATTTTTATGTCTGATTTTATAAAGAAATAGTTTTTAAGTGAGGTGAGACTTGGGGATACACAAGACAAATCAGACTCCTGAAAGAGGTACAGTAGTCTGGAAAGGTTGAGAACCACTGCACTAGAGTCAAGCATTTTGACAGACAAGCACAAATGCTTTCAGGATCAGCAAATTTAAACATGCTGGTTCTGGACTGGTGAATAGAAAGTATTTTGATTTAACTCTCTGCTACCCTATTTGCAGATAGAATGCCACAGGCACCAGGAGAGGACAAATCCTCAAATGAGAGGGAATGAAGTTGGAAAGGTGCCCTGTACCACACCTGTACATTTCCTCCCTTCATTCTCAACATATAAGATCCATCTTGCCCTTGGTTACCTGAGCCGTGGATTCTGGGCAAGGCTCTGCACCCGAGCCCATGCATGATTATTTCGTGGCTGTAACTCCACAGGGACCCTCAGAGGAAGACGTACTGGCTTCTGATCCTCCTCATCACTAATGCCTAAAGGAAGAAGGAGAGCAAAACAATGGGTCAAAGCAGACAGGTGTTCCTGACACATGCAACTCGGTCAGAAATGGAGCTAAATATTCAGGCAGATGAATTAAAAATTGTAGGTGGGGAAAGCATTATAAGAGCATTTGGGCAGCTCAAATTCAACAGTGGAGCCTACTTCCTCAGATTACCTCCAGTTCTGATGCACCAATATTATCTTTGGACACTGCAATTACACTAGAGCTGACAGTTGATTAAGCAGTGCTATGTCAAAACACAGATGGCTAGGAACTGACAAGTGTAATTGTTCAGATCTTTAAATTGCATTTAATATTGCTCGCTGATGAAAGCGTGCTTTGTATTGAGGTGGAAAGAGTAAAGAATATCTGAAATGTTCAGTGCTAAGCAACATGCAGCTGTTCATTTGCTGGCACTAGGATGAAGACAGCCATCTACAAGTACAGAACAGCCTGAGTAAAGGTCTGCTTGTGCCTAATTTTTAAGCCTGAACTGGTTTTGAACTGGACCCAAGACCACCCAACCCAACCGTAATAGAGTCATTAACTGACCCTTCCCCCCAACCTGAGTCAGTGCCGCCGCCTCCTGCCTGTAGGGTCGGCACGCTGGCAGCTGCATGCAGTGACTGCATGCCTTACTCCTATCAGCCACCGTCCCCGCTGTGCTGTGCACACACTGCGGAGTGAGAGGCACTGCACACACTCTGCAGCACACCTAGTACAACGAGGTGGTGGCAGCTGGCAAGAGCGGGACATGCAAGCCACTGCACTGACCCCATGGGCAGGAGGAGGAGAGCCAACCTGATCCTGAGTGGGTCAGGTTGTTTTCTGACCCGACCAAAACCTTACACGTAGTCTGGTCCTGTCAGGTTCAAGTCGGGTTGCAGGGCTCTAAGCCCGAGATGCAAAGCAAAAAGGATTTTCTCCAACGTAGCAACTTCTTTTCCAATTTCTCTATTTGCATGGTACTTTAGCAGCCAGCATCAGATCTCTAGATCTATAGAAGTGGATTTTTCTCAAAGCTGTATCACTGGTGATGCAAATGAATGGGGCAATTAGAGAACAGGAACATCCAGTGCCCCAAAAGAACCTGAGATAGCATGAATTCCCTTGCCAGAGAGGCACACACCAAAGAAGCCCCACTGCCACTCACGCTCTCCTGATCATCTGTTACAACTCTTTCCCATTTCAGCTTCTCTTACGTACCATCTGGGTCACAAAGTTTCTTCAGTGCCCTGCACATTGGAGCTTTAATCCGAAGGTTTCTCCCTTTGTAGCGAACAGTCGTGGCCCTAAGTAGATTTGAAAGAGAAATATTTATAGGCACTATGACTAAAGCAACATATATATAGTTCAGTGAAAAAGTTGGATACAAAGAATCCTACATGACTGGGCAGGAATGCAAGGGGTTGCTGGGCAGGAATCCAGACTTACAGGGGCACGTTGAGGCCTTTGCCATCTTTTAGGCTCCTGAAAATGAAACAGAAGTGACTCTTGTACCTCTGCACTGCTAGACTCACAGGAAGCACTATACAAGAGGCTGCCCACTGAATGAGAGACCCTATATGAAAAACAGGCTTGAATTCTTTGTCACCTTGGCAGGAAGAGATGATCCTCAAAGCCAGCCTTTTTATTTTGGGGTGGCCATAAAAGACCATTGTTTTGTCTTACTTTCCCCCCATGATTGCACCACAGGGCCTGCTTGAAGATTCCGAAGAGTCTTTAGATTTGAGAGCATGCAAAGAATTCTCTCAAAGGCCATCACCAAGCTCCTCTCTAGCAGAAATGAAGCCCAGCTGCTTCTTTCCCCACCCCCACTCCCCTCAGGCTGTCCTGCTCTCTGGTTACAGGCCCATGATGCAGGGGCTAACAGCCCTGAGCTGCTGATGGTGGTAACCAGAAGGGGAATCTAGACTGTGCAGAGGAGATCCTGCAGAGTGTGAGAAGAAGCAAAGGAGTGCTGGAGGCTGCCCCTACAGCAGGGCCACCTTCTTTGTTTGATGGAGGGAAGAAAGATGGACTAGTAAAGGGTTCCTAACCTAGGCTGCTAAATGGGGATGCTGCTAATAGGGGGGCTCTGGAAACTAAGCAGGCCAGGGGAGAAATGCAACAGATCAAATAATGAAGTAGGCCCAGATGTGTGAACCATTAAGCTGTGGGTTTCAGCAGATTCAGAAACTCCCAGAGCTGTCAGAGTAGATTTTCATTTGCACTGAGCTGTCAGAAGCAAGGAGAGTTCTTTTGTACTGGCATCATTTGATGAACTTTTGTGATACACAAGAGGTGATGACTGATTCCTTAATTTTTTTTTTTTTTTAAAGCTCTCAAGTGAAATAAAAAAAACAAACCTTCGTTGCTTGAAACAAAAGCTACTTGCTAAGCTGTGAAACGTGCTTCCTACCCTCAAGTCTGCTGCAGACCTGTCAGCCATGGGGCCTTCCCAACAGTATGCAAGGACTGATATTTCTTCACACTGATGCAATATATTGTAACTGCTATAAGCATAGCATTGCTGCCTTTTTAAAAATCTAACCAGAACTTGGGATTGTGTGGCGTCAACTATTTGTCCCTGAGGTCCATCAAGTCTAACACCAGGTCTCTGGCAGTGACCAATACCTGAGCCTCAGAGGAGGGCACAATACACACCTGCCTGTCTATGCAATGAAGCAGTTGAAGGGTGGGATTCCTTCCTGACCACAGCAGAGATCTTATGCCCCAAAACATGAGTTTTGATCCCCTTATCCTAGCTACAAATATTACTGATCATGAAGTCAGAGTCCTTTTGAAAAAATCAACCTCCTGCAAGCAAGTAGATTTACATGAAACTAGCATGTGATTTAGCAACCCTGATTAAATACAAACAAGGACAGAACTGGCATGAATGAACCTCATTCACAAGGATTGAAATCTATCTTCCTAGTGGGCGCACAGTGTGAGAAGGCAACAAACCCAGTTGAGAATGCCTCTATCAGACTGTTTTGCCTGAGTTTAGCTGGCAAACGTTTGAGTTTTGCTTTGGACAAGCATAGAACCTCCTCCTCGTGTCTGACTCACCAGATGTATATCAATCACTCACCTTTCATCAGAGACCCAAGTTTCCATTTCCATTGGAGTTTGGGGACCTAAGCAGTTTGCAGGTGTCTGTGCTAGTCACAGTGCCACCATCTCAAGAGTGACACTGGGGATAACAGCACTGAGGATTCTGCTCTAGGCCATGTTGTCTGGAACGGGAATTGAGTTGGAAAGATCTAGTGAGTCTGCAGTCAATATATATCCAGAGCTTTTTGTTATCTTTGTTCAATATTTATTATTGTTTCTCCTTCCCCCAAAATAGTAACTACAAAAACTTAAATGAACTGCAAGGTTGTCTTTTACTGTAACTCTTACAAATGTCCTTGAATTCTGATACTTTGTAACATTCTACAGCAATATTTACCAGAGATTCACAATGCTTCCAGCAACAGGAATACCCCAAAATTCTGTCTATGCAAGGCAAAAAGATATCACAACCAACCACTGCTTGGAACTCTCCGTCTACACAACAGCTGGGACAGCTATTTTATAAGTATTGGTTGCAAAGCAAGGTCTGGATCAGGTTCTGTTGCATCAGTACAGTCTCCCCAATGAGGACATAAAGGTACAAGCACTAGACATACAGTACACTGCTGCAGCTCCCTCCTACAATGCAGTGCCTCATGTTTGGTAATCATCAAAAATCCTCATTCCCACCAACAGTTCTGGGCATTATGGGAGAAGCCTTTTATGAAACCCATGTTGGATAGGATAAGATGCAAGAACACACATCATGGTCGTAAGGGGTGTTATGCCTGGATGCACCAGAATGGTTCTAGCGGACGCATTGCTGCTACGTGGACATGTCAAATCATTATGTGGACAAGTGGGATAACAATGGATTCACACAATCAGCACCCCGGTAATCATTTTTTTTGCTCAGTAGACACACTCAGTTTTCCACTGTAGTAAGAGGGGAAACCATTGGTGTAATCACACCTGCACTTATAACCTGATCCAAAGCCCACTGAAGACAGTGGAAAGTCTCCCACTGAATTTAATGGGTTATGGATAAGGCTAAGATTTTGTCACAGAATCCGAGGTTTCCAGAGACCTCCATAACATTTTCCGCTTCAGGCCCAGTGCAGCGTGGGGCCCCCACAGCTGGCCAGATGCCATGGACAAACCCTGGAACTCCCAGCTGTGGGCCCACAGCTCCGAGTAGCCACAAGTGGCAGGGGGATCCCAGCACTCAGCCACAATGGGTGGCCCCCTGGAGCCCCAGCAGCAGTAGGTGCTGGACCCTCCTCCTTCCCCATTTTGTCTCAGTTATTTTTTTAGTAAAAGTCAGGGATAGGTCACAGGCTTCCATGAATTTTTGTTTATCATCCATGACCCATCCGTGACTTTTACTAAAAATATCTGAGACAAAATCTTAGCTTTAGTTATGGATCAGGCCTTTTAGGTACAAATCTGAAAAAAATGTGGAGAAGCCCCATAGGAGGTGTAAATTATCATAGCACCATCAACTGCCATGACAATTTAAAACAGCTGAGGATCAGCTCCTGTAACTAGATTTTAATTAAATCAAAATTTCTCAGACAAGTGTCTTCAATGTAGTATCACACATAAATTTACTGGTGCTGTACAACTGTATCACACAAGCCATCAGCTCAGTTTAAGTGCCTGATCCATGTCCAGATAAGGGTACATTATTGACCCTACACAAATAGCTTAATAATTTCAAGGTAATAACTGGAGCTAGGGTTGTAAAAATACAACCACCACCCTAACAGATCACTATAGTTTTACCAAAAAACCCAAACACTAGGAAATTCTAAGATAAGGTTAACACTTTGTCAATAAAAAAAAAAAAAATCAGATTTTTTGAACCCTCCCTCCCCCATAGATTATGTCTTAATTTTTCATTTCCTGTGTCCCTATCCATTTAAAATATTTTACCACTTTTTGCCAATTTATTGCATCTCTTATGTAATGTAACTGATCCAAGCAAAAGAAAAAAGCATTGGTCATTGTTTGTATTTTTGTTGCATTATGAATTTTAACAGCGTTGCCCACAAAACATTTATGCATGTTGCACCTGCCACATATAATGGTCTACCTGCCATGCTTCCTGCTCAGCTGTCTGCCACCTGCTCAGACACACTTTGGGCAGCAATAACTCACCAGCAGTAACCGCTACTGAAACATCACTCTGGCACTGTACACATGTATCTGGCTACAAAAATAAGGGCAGCTGACCAGTATACCATGTGATCCTAGGCATGATTCTCTCTGCAATACATCAGATGTAAGAACTGCAGAGACAGCAGAGAAAGGGGAAATAAAGGAAAAGAAAATAAACCAAGGGTAGAGGAAGTAAGATAAAGGCAAAACTGCTGGCAGCACTACTGCTGGAGGACTACATCAAGCTGCCCTGTGTATTTCATGGGCTACCACAGTTTAGAAGCAAGCAATCAAGTTGTGCTCCACCAAATTATTATACACTAAAACTATTTATTTACCTCAGGTAGCTAATCTAAAAGGATGAGAGAGAGATGAAGACTGCTACATCAATATATTCACATGGAAATTCACCATGTCTGCCCCTGGATATTATTTCATGACATTAGCACTCAAAATTTCTACTTTTTACCCTCCTTTAAAATGAAAGAAAAGAGCTCTCCTCCAAGTTTACATGTCCTGCTGTGGTGGAATGATTTCTCTTACTCCCTTTTCAGTAAGGCATGAGGTTTTTAAATAATCTAGGAAGGAGTCCAATAATCAGTTATTGCAACTTTAAACTACTGTAAAATTAAATATGGCTGAAGGAGGTAGATTCCTAATGCAAACACATGACACAGCAGGGATAGGGGGAGGAGTAGATTAATTTAAAAACAGGACAGATTAATGAGTATCAAAACAGAAACAGCCTGCAACTAAAATAGTTATCTTAAAAATATGCTCTTCCTGCTTAGCTCTTGGTTTCTTTTAATCGGGGATGTTTCCAAACCTAACAAAGTGCTGAATATTCAAAAACCGATATTACACAAAACATGATTAAGAATCTTTAGTATTAGTTCACATCCTCAGCATTTCCTATCTGCTGAAATAGAGCTTGTGATGTTTGGGGGCTTTCTGCAGTATAGATTCCAATTTGATTTAGGTATTGAGAGATTAATTGAGAGTTATCAAACATGAATGTCAAATATATCAATTTTAATCCTACAGTATGCCCAAGCACCCAACTCCCAGCAAAATCAAAGGGAACTGAAGCACA